TATACCTAAAAATGCGTGAAACAAAAGTTATAGCGCTGGGTCTCCCACATATTACGGATGTAAAATTTTTCCTATCGCATGAATGAGTTTGGAGCAAAAGCTGTTTTTCTGGATGAAAAAAAAAACACAAATAAATCAAAAATTAAAAAAAAATACTTCACGTTATTTTATTGCTCCCAATTTAAAGAGTCTAAATGCGAGTCTAGACTTCAACTTCTCTCCCAAGTCTGAAGTCGGTAGCTGCAAATTTGGAGTACTTATTATGTTTATATACTACTTAATACTTATAATACTTAAAAACCGTAAATACAACAGTTTAAGCTGTCTATATGGGCTATATCCTCATGTAAAAGAAACTGACATCTAAAACACAGATTTGAAATTATTGCCAATTTTCAATAATAGGGGGACCCATTATATTACCTGTACCCTGTATATTTTTGAAAAATTGCCAAAACTAAAAGTTCAAGAATTTTTTTGGTCTCGTAAACAGTTTTTGAAAAATGATGTTTTTTGTAGACCCTTGCAAACGCGATTTTTTATTTGTTTAGAATACTTCCCGACCCCTCAGCCCCCCCCCCTCCCATTTTCAATAGGTTCCGTCACGGGGCAAAGCTGCATATATGTGCAAAATATGAAGTCGATTGCCTCAAATTTCGGACACTTATCGTGTTTCATAACAAGGTATAAAAAACAATCAAAAATCGCAAAAAAAAGATGGATACCGGCGTCGAATCGGGGCCATTTCTTATAAGCTTATGTGCCTCGTGGAGGATTAAAAAGTAGGCAAATTTCAATTTTGTAGCTCCAACGATTCGATAGTTATTCAGGAAAAACCAAAAGCCGAGAACGGAGAACGGACAAACAGACAGCAACGGCGATCCCGTAGGACCTACCGTTACCGAGATATAAAATTTTTATACGAGGGCAGACACTTTGGAAAAATTCGATTTCATCGATTTTCGAAAGTAACGGTGCTCGTAAAGGAAATATTTTATTGATGTTCGTATGAGGGGGTGTAAAATTGTTTATTTTTTTCGGAGTTTCTAATACAGATCCAAGTTGCAATTCGAACATTTTAATACCGGCAATGTATATATCAACCTTCCATCGCATGGAAAACTAAATGAATATTATTTAAATCTACGGAGAGATAAACGCATTCCATCTCACCATTTAAGACGTGAATAATAGCAATCGGCATTACCGGGAACCGTCGAGAAAGATTACTTAAACACATTTTCATCAACGTGCCCGACTATTTTATATTCAAAAGGGGTAACAGTGAAATTACTTTATAATATCATCATTAAAAGAGTATCTACGTAAAAGTTGAAGTCGTCGATTATTTATTCCTTTTGGAATCGCCTTCCTGCTTTGTCGGTCGAGTTTTTAAATGCGGGACACGGACCGCACAGTTTCGTTTAAGTTAAAAGCAAAATAACCCTCTCGACACCGACGGAGCAACGCAAACAAAATGTCACCCACGACATTATTTTTTCACGCGGATTCGGGCGCATTGCAAACAAACCGAACGAAAAAAAACCTTGTCCGCTCGTTCGACACGTTTTTTTTCCACACTATGCGTGTATCCACCTGTTCGAGCATAAATACCAGTTATAATGAGCGTACCCCTTTTGTGTATTTTCCGTGTCAAGTATGCAAAATAACTGTTTTGAAGAAACTCGAAAAACTCGAAACTAGCATGGACGAGACCGGATTTTTGTAGAAACTTGGTTAGTGTAACAAGTCCTCGTGTCAATTAAACAGTCTTAATCTAGTTCCTAATTGCGCAAATACGCATGTCTTCGGTCGTGTTAGACGTTATTTTTCGTCGTTAAATACGAAAAAGTTCGTTAAGGGAGCGACCAAAAAAAGTCGCCTGGATAATAGTTATTTTCAAAAACGCAGGTGGTGAACTTCTAAACTAGTTATTTTTCGGCCCGTATGTGGATCCGTTAAAAAAAGGTCCCACGAAACGGTGAATCGAAAAGTAGCCAAGACGGCGGGTTAAATGTTGAAAATAAAAATTCCCCCTTATAGCAAAAGGTAGAAAAATGCGATACGACCGTCAAATTCCTTGACCGGACATCCCGAGTTCTCACGAAAATACTTGTATATGTCACCGCGAAAACCTGTATGTCCAGTTCTGGTCAGTCCGTTAGGGTAGGTTCAAGGGTCAAATCCACGAAATGTAGGGGTCACTTTAACAAGCGAAAAGGGTTATTCTCACGAATTGTCCGGCAACAGATAAATAGGGTAAAATGGTCAAGTGAATTTCAAAAGACGCGCATCGCATCTTCAATAACATAAAAATGAGGGCCTTTGATATATAAAACTGGTTTTTGCGCGTTTGAACACCCGGTATTTACTTTATGCGCCGTATCAATTTATCTATGGCCGTCTTTCTTTTCTTTTCGTTTTTTTTTTTAGTTTCGGGGGCCCATTATTTCGAGCTACACTTCGGTATGGGCTACACAAATCTAAGGCATTAATAACGGCGTTATAAACTGTCATAAATTACTAAAATGGCTCGACCTGCATAACAATTTCAACTTAATGCCTGTAGACTCCTTGCAAATTATTCGCATCCAAGAAAATACGCCAAGTGCGAAATTATACAAAAACCCCGCTCGATCGCACTGTTGCCGCTGTATACGAGGACAGCTCGTGAAGTATAAAATATAAAATAAAAGGCGTACGAAGCGTAATAGCCGTTTTCTTAACACAAGCTGTGGATTAATAGCGCAATTAGGAGCGCTAACAAGCACAACTTATTCTTACAACAAAATACGTCATACTTTAGTAAATTTTCGAATTTCCCTCGTACGTTGAAAAACCTATAATTTGAACTGGTTACCCATCAAAAATGAGCTTCGTATTATCTCTTATACGGCGATGTGTGATAAAAGAAAAATAACGCAAACTCAAACAAAACAAAACAAAAGTGCCACTTAATATGTTAATATGGACCGAACGTATAAGGTAAGTTAATATTTTATAAACAATTAAATCGAATATTTAAAAAAACCCAACCGGATATGAGCAACCTCTGAATGTTAAATATCGAAATGTTAAAATTTTTTGGAAAATTTAAAAAGTCGTTAACTTAATTCGTTTAATGACGATGACGGTTTTGGGAACTCAAACAGCGGGGAATATTTTCGATACCTGCGGAATTTTGTTTTCGTTCTTAATCCACACGTGTGCATGGTCAGATCGTTGCAAGTATAAAAGCCTTTCTCCGCTATATTTTGAGAAAATAATATATATAATTACATAAAAAGAATTTGCAATAGCGCATAAAAGAAACGGATCGTTGGAAAAAGTGTGCAACGCGACCATTTTAGTTCGCGAGATACGCAATAAAATTTCATGGCGGAATTCTTTGTTAAGTTCAGCAGACTGTTAGTTACATTAACTGCCACGTATGTAAACATGCAGTTGGTTAGTTACGTTAAATGTACATTTTACCTACAAATTTTCAATACGTCTTTAGTTTTTATTTACTTACGATAAGTTAGAGAACTTGGTATGTTGAAAACGTACATTTGACATTTAACGGGAGTAATATTTTTTCTTGTTGCCAGCAACAACGCATTGTTTCAGTATATATAAAATTTACCTACCCTATAAAACCAAAAGTTTCAAACTTTTACGTATGGTAAAATAGCTACGGGATTCAGGTCCCCCCCTCATTTTTAATTTGAAAAAAATCCTTGTTATATAAACAATTATTTAAATTATAAATTAATTAAACATAACAAATTTTCCAAGACTGAAAAAAACTGTCAAAAGAGTACCATGACAGCTATATCTAAATTTATTAAAACAATAATAATACAAAAATCAATCTAGAATATTGAGCAATTTTTGGAAGAATTCTACCCACGTTCTGCATATTTCTTTCTAACCAAAACAAAAAACTGTATCTACGTCACAGCATTGTATTTTAGCGTGATTAAATCGAATATTTTTTTTAGCACACAAAAAGCATTTTAAAGTTATAATGTTCAATATTTAAATTTTACAGCTAATAATTTTTAAAACATCCAGAATCAAACTGACGACAATCGAAAACAAATATAAATATATTATATTTAATTTTTTGCGAAGACGAAGCACTTCGACCTTCACGTTTTTATTTGAATCCAAAACACATGGGCGGCTTAAAAAAATGCAGAAAAAAGTATAATTAAATACTCCAACTACAAAAATTTTATTTTATTAACAATAAAATTCATAATACTTCGCATTCGCATAACCAATAACCAACCTATACTTGTGTTTTTGTCTATTTCTGACAATTCATATTCACTGTGAATTATAGAGGTGGTCTTTAATTTAATTAATGCGAAGAGATGTTGATGTAGGAAGATGGAGGAAAAAAGTTAGACAAGGAAATTTAGTAAAGACGTTTACTCCAAAAAATTTCTGGATCAAACAAAAACAATGCTCTATATTGTTTTCTTTGCTTGTTTTTGGGTGGAGCTAAAGCTTGGACAGAAATAGCTAGGGGTCACCCATCTAAAGCATTTAAGTTTGAAATTAAAAAGACATGAATATTCCAAAATTCACATTGTTTTTACCCAATTTGCATTATTAGTGTCAATCAATATTGAACATAATGAAAATGTATCAAAGAATTTTATCAAAAATTATAAATTGTATTACATTTTTCGAAGCTTTTTGAATGTCCGAGGACATGGTGAGAGCTATACTTCCGACAATCCCGGGATATTTCGTAAACTAATTAATTTTAGATTAGATTAGATACAACTTTAGATACAACTTTCAATGAAATTCAGATAATTGAGAATTGCAAAACAGCTTAAAACTTTTCCCATGAGCCGCCAAAAGATTTATACAAATAAATAAAACACATTGTGCTGCCATCTCTGTGTACGTGTTGTAAATGTCGATGAAAAGTTCAAGAATTCTTTCCGTCAGAAATGAAAGATGTCGCCACTTTACGATGTATCTGATTTTGACATTATTAATGATATCAAAAGTCAATTCCATTATTTACATTAAAAACCTGGGAGTTATGACCACAGATTTAATTGTTGATTCTCAAATAAGAGTATGGGTGTTTTTACCCATTGTGGTCATCACATTTTTAGTTGGAATCCTCAGGCATTATTTTTCAATCCTCCTGGCCAGTCAAAAGAAAGTAGAAACCCAGCAACTTCAAGACAGGTAAACTCTAACCTATAGATATTACCTGGCAAGCAGATTCACTTTTTATTTTTTCATAGTCAGCTAATAATAAGGGCTAGAATGTTACGAGAAAATGCTAAATACATACCGAAAAGCGCGTTTCTGGTCCGCAAACATGCGTTCAACAAAGAAGAAGATGGTTATCTAACACAAAAGAGGCCCGCTATGACACAAAATATGATGACGGACCCCTCAATGATGACTGACATGCTAAAAGGAAATCTAACTAATGTCTTACCCATGATTGTTATTGGAGGATGGATTAATTGGATGTTTTCGGGATTTATTACAAGTAATTCAAAATGCAGTCCATCACCTGTTATATTGCTAAGATGTAAATTTGTTGTTTCAGCTAAAGTGCCCTTCCCTTTAACACTACGTTTCAAGTCAATGTTGCAGAGAGGTATTGAATTATCCCATTTAGATGCGTCATGGGTATCATCAGCCTCATGGTATTTCCTTAATGTATTTGGATTGAGAAGTATATATGCATTGGTACTTGGTGAAAACAATGGTAATTGCTAAAGTATGATCATTTGGAGAATCCTAATAGGGTTTATGTTTGGTAGCTGCTGACCAGAGCCGTCAGATGCAAGATCAAATGTCAGGAGCGGCAATGGCAATGCCTCAAGACCCAAAGGTCGCATTTAAAGCTGAGTGGGAAGCGTTAGAAATTGTGGACCACCAATGGGCACTGGTGGACGTGGAAACTAAATTACTGGGGGATGAGAAGTTGAAGGTAGAATAAATTAATAAAAACTACCGTTTTGTTGATTATCTGTAATTTAATTATTTTAAGAACTTTATATAGGACTATTATCCTGAATATAGTTGTAAATAAAATCTTTTAAAAAGTTACGTGTGGTTTATTTACCAAAAGTCTTTGAAAGCAAAACATTTGGAGTGTCCAGAAGAATAGAATGGTGCATGCGCCAGACAAACCCACTTCATGCAAAAAAAAATGCAAAGCCTGGGGATAAAAAAACAGTATAAAGAATTACTTCCAATCCTTAATGACAACTAAAATGATGAGCCTATGTGTTTTATGAGCCAAAATGGCAATAATACACCTACTCAAAAAATTCTCATGGTTTCAGAACACATTTGCATAACGGCGCGACTTACTCAATTCCCACATGCAAGAAGGTCTTTTGTTAACATTCTTGTTCCTCTGAATTATCCAGCATCTTTTTTAAAAATCATCTGTGAAATAGAGATCGTGAGCACATGCGCATTGCGAATTCCTCTTAGAGTTCGTTGCACATTGGTTGTCGTTTGCTTGTTTGTCTTTGAAAACTAACCAAACTAAGTGGATGCTTCAACGAGCAGCGCTGTAATGTAATTTTACGAAAAATGTGATTTAAAAATTACCCTAAATTGGTGCGGCGCAAAAAACATGCAAACATGATGCTTAGTATCGGGTAGTGAGCAGTGTTGTAACGGTCAACGCCGTTTTTCAAAATTCGGCATCAAAAAGAGTGCTTCCTTGGAATTTGGTAGGCGTTTAGTTAATTATTTTGTCATATAACATTACTTTCGTACTTACCTGGCAAAATATTAGTGTGTACTTAAATTCTTGAACGATTTGTGGCCCAAATTAAAATTTTTATCTGGGATTTGTCGTACATGTTTTAGTAATATTAATGCAAAACACTATTTTTAGCGATGACCGTAGAACTTTTGTACCTGACCGACAATCTAATCATGTTTTCCGAATATATTACTGTCTGATTCGCAGTCTAAAGGAAAAATTGCAACTAAAATTAATTGCTACTTTGAAATAAACGCGGCAACAATTCAAAGCCATCGTTCAATTGCAAAATTTCTTTGCGCAATTATCGTTTCAGTAGATGATTTAACACCTGTTGTTATCTACGTTGTTTTCCTAACAAATTATTTATTCAACTCGGCAGATAATTTTACCATCATTGCTGTATTTTTGTTCGACACTTTTTTACTAGAGCTAAAGGAAATTACTCTATTTGCTTCGCTTTAAAATTGTGCTATCTCTTTGTACACCTGTTAAGCAATTAACATTCTGTAAGCGTGTGTATTTCTTTATAAGGAAAGTGTTCTTCTACTCATTAACTCAAAAATCACTATGGCGACAAAAGGCTCTCAACAAAAAAAATACAAATGCCTGTAAAAGTTGAAAATCGCGGTGCAAGTTTAAATTTAGTGCTGTCTGGTTGATTTATCTCTTTTCAAATTAGTGGTGAATGTGACAGTGGCACGACACATGTTCGTTTTTTTTTTCTAAATCCTCGAGATAAATTGTTTCAGTGTTTTCCCCTTAGGTCCGTCCATTTTAAAGTAAGTTTCTGCCGGTGAAATGAGTCGAACAATCTTGCTTACTATGCGTATGTACCTACCCATATCATAATTCCTCCTTTCTTATCTTATCGCAAATTTTGAATATATGTACACACTCTGCCAACTACCAAATTGTTCGGATCAATAATAAAATAAAAGGTACTTGTCAATTTTAGAAATCCTATAGATTTGGATTTGAAATGTCGTGCTTTAGTTATAGTTATTAGTGGCCATAGATATAGAGATAGATTAAAGTAGCATTCAGAATTCTTCGTGCCAAAAATAACAGTGACATTTTGTTCCAGCCGGTGCGAATTCTATATTGAGGCCAAGAGATGCCATACTCAACTAGGTACAGTCCGAATGTCACCAGGATGACTGAAAATGGTAAATCTTGAACTTTTTCTCTCAGCCAATGACAAATGTTAGTTACGTTTGCTCGGTTAACACCGCGGGTACAAGAAAAACCTGCGAGCAAAAAAATATTTTTAATTTGGAATGAAAAAAAGTTGTTACTAATTACGTATTTTTTTAGTAGAAAATAATAGAACATAAGTAGCTGTAAACGCATTTGGTGTTTGATAACAATTGCGTGTCTTGAAGTCGTCGTGGGCCTTTAAGCTAAAACGCTTTGCTCCACCTATACTGAGGTCAGATACCCATCGGAATTTAAATTTTAATACCGCTATTTAAAATGTTATCGCGATTCACCAAGCTAATTTCTTGTTGTGTTTTCATTCGGTTTGGGCTACGCGACGTTTATTTTACTTTTCCTTAACAAATGTTACGTCATTGATAATAATTAAATTAACATTGAAGAAGACTTGGCAGACTAATGCTAAAAGTTTCATATAAAATTTGATTATTTTTATTTGCATATTTGAACAACATTATTGAATCAAAAAATTAATGAATAAAACTTTACGATTGACATATCACGCGAACTGAAAATGTAGCGCATGTTGCCCATATGCGAGAATGGGATACACTAATATGGATTAAATGACGACAAAAAGTTCAACGAATCTCGCTTCATTTTCATTTCTAAACAATGTCGACTCTAATCGTCACCATAATAGCTATTATGCTAGCGCAGTCTATCTGGTCTCCTAAGGTTAAGGATAAAAATAATAAATTAAAGCATTGGAAAATTCTTAAAGTTTTTAAAAGGTCAGCGGGTTAGCCTTCGAATTCTTATTGTCTTTTGTAAATATGGATACTTTACATGAAATGCCGTTGGCGTATTTATAATCTCCGATGCGACAATATTTGCTTGGCTCGTATTGCAAGATTTTCACAAATATTTGATTTTTAACCTGTCAATGCGTTTACTTTGCCGAAATTTTATCACTACACCCCGAATTAATTTTGGGCGCATTATTACTTTCGAAATGATCAGCGTCGAAAAAAAAATTTTTTTTTTCTGTCCGTTCTCCGTTCTCGTCTTTTGGTTTTTCCTGAATAGCTTTCGAACCATTGGAGCTAGAAAATTGAAATTTGCCTCTTTTTTAGCCCTCCACGAGATAGATAGGCTTTTAAGAAATGGCCTCGATCCGACGCCGGCATCCATCTTTTTTACGTGATTTTCGACTGTTTTTTGAACATTGCTATGAAACGCGATAGGTGTCTGAAATTTGAAGCAATCCACTTCATATTTCGCACATATATGGAGCTTTGCCCCTTGACGGAACCTATTTAATATGCAAGAATTTTAAAAAATTGTGCAAGGGTCTACAAAAAAGAAGATTTTTCAAAAACCTTTTGCAAGACCGAAAAAAATCTTGCACCAGAAGACGCAGAGGATACGGCTCCAAACTTTTATATATGACAATTTTTCAAAAATGTACAGAGTGCGCCGCAAATTCAAAAAAACGGAAAAGTGGGTCCCCCTATTATTGAAAACTTTCAATAATTTAAAATCTGTGTTTTAGATGTCAGTTTCGTTTACATGGCGATATAGCCAGTATAGACGGCTATAACTTTTGTACTTAAGGTTTTTAAGTATTGTACAGGGTGTTCGCGATATTGCGTGCAATATTAGAAAACGTAATAAGTGCCCCAAATTTGCAGCTTCCGACTTCAGACTTGGGAGAGAAGTTGAAGTCTAGACGAGCATTTAGACTCTTTAAATTGGAGGCAACAAAATAATGCGAAGTATTTTTTTTTATTTTTCAATTTTATTTTTGGTTATTCCATTCATCCGATCGGAAGAACTTTACAACCGTAATACATGGGAGCTATAACTTTTGTTTCCCTGTGCACTAGTTATAGTCAAAAATCTGAAAGACGCTGAAAATTGGTCTTTTAGGGAGTAAATTATTAAAGAATTGAAATGAGGTGGCTTTTACGTGATGAAAATCCATTTACCAAAATAAATAAGAACCAAAAGTTCAGATTTTCACGAAATTATATATAGCTATCAGTGTTGTAGACCGTGTCAAGGGCTACAATTTTTGTATTTACGATTTTCGTCTGTCACGTACGCTGCCCCAGATATTTGAAAAAATCCATTTCAAAATCGCAATAACTCGCACTTAATCTAGACGCGATGACGTCATTTACTATTACGGTGTACCGCATGGTTTCAGAAAAGAGGGATTTCCTCGAAAATTATTTATCCTATTGAAAAAATTAATATACCGGGAAACGTGGGAGATCTAGAGCTATAACTCCTACGTGCGGCATTTTTTGGATTATGACAGGGTGTGTCGATTATTTGTAAAAAAAAAATAAAGGGATCCTGAAAATTGCCATTTTCGTGGGTAAATACAAAATTATAAAACATGGGATGAATTGGTTTACACAGTGTCGAGTGCGAGTTTCAAGTTTCGTCCATCATACACGGTGCGGCAGATATAATTGGAAATCGCTATTATTTGTAAAAATTTTTGAATTTACCAAAGTTTGCCGTAACTTCGCAGAGAGTGAAAGCTACTTCATCCAGGGTGCATGCACAATAAAATTACATCGATTTTGTGAAATGTTATTAGTATATTATCAACACTTGGTGTCATGGCAAGTCTTACTTCTTAATCCGTTCAAATGCTTTGTAGTTTCTTTCTCTGTAAAAAAATTGAATATTTCGAATACGTTCGTTTCAAACTAGGTTACTCCTCTGTAGTAGTGTCCAGATTGAAAATAGACTTTTTACGTTGCTCTTAATAGAATTTGCCATACCTATGAGAAATGTGTGTGTGACATGTACATATATTTTAAAGGCACAAATATTAAATATAAAAATTTTTTTAGTATGCATGAAATTGTGAAATGGACATAATATTTAAATTTCCCGTCAGTCTATCAACAATTAAAACTCTTCCTGAATTTTTTTTATTAATTGCTATCGATTATTTGCATATAAAATGAATAACAATATCAAGGGCGACAGCTCCAATAAAATATTAATTAAATTAGCAATGCAATGATGGAAATGGTCCGACGATAGAAATAGAGTTATATAGAAAAACCGCATCAGCATATTACACTGTTGAAAATCAATTAAGCACGTAGTAGACATTTTGACTGCCCGTGACCCCTGTGAAAATAAAAAAATAATAGCGATACGTCTATACGAACGAACGCGGTGCCAACGTTGAGTTGTGGGCGTAGCGCCATATTAGAAAGTGATTTTCAGTAAAACAATGATTACAATGTTTGTCGTTCTCAAACGCTAACAATGATTTCGTTGTGCGAGCGTGCGCGATTGTAGGCTATGTGAAATAGAGGCGTCAACGGGAAATGTAATAATTTCACTCTTTGAAGCTTTAGAAAAAAAATCTGCAAATAGCAGTGATTTTTATAACCGTCGGTATACGTGCTACCTACAAAGTTCTGCGTCATAAAACACCGCACGGCTGGAAAACAGTTTTATACCTTCCTTATCATTAACCTATTTTAGCTGACTGTAAAACACACACACATAAACGGTTATTTAATGTATAACATTTTTTAGAAAGGCTGCGAGTTGGTTTTTGGGGGTAACAAATGTTTGAAAATATTCATTCTCAGATATTCTTCAAACACGAGAGTTCTTTTCTGGCGAAACAAAAAAATAATAATCAACTTTTTGAATAATATTCACAGGCGCATTTTATTATTATTACTTATTACGGTTATGAAAGTACCATTACAACGTAAATTGATAAGCCAAATTGGACACTTCGAGGGAAGTTTTCCTTTCTATAGAGAAAACACTTAATGGTAAAAACCGCCTCTGGGTATCTATTGTCGTTCTTGAGTTGTAGGGTGATGTTTTAAAAAATCGCTGTCACTTTGTTATTATGGAAAATTTTGTGTTTCAAATTCAACTCTGTAATGGTTTCAAAGTAATATTTGTAAAGCTAATAGTTATTTTTATTTTCTATATTCTATATTCGGTATATTTTTAAATATTTGAACATTAGTTGCAAATAAATGGGATATTATAGTTTTGTATTACTATTATTACCCTGGAAGAAAACAACCTCTTAAAATTTTTTTTGGAGAATTTTGCGAAATCACCTAATTAAATGAGAAATGGCCAAAAAGTTATACATGAACTAAAAAAGAAACCGTTAAAAATGATATTACAACGTTAACCTGGAAGTTACAGACATCAACAAGACTAGCAAGAGCTAACGTTAGATGAACCGTTAAAAAAAAACACACACACATGCCTAGAACAGTACTAGAAAAGTGCAATGGTGCAAGTGGTTCCTAGAAATATGTAACCCGACATGCGTTTCCCGCTGATTCTTCGAAATTTATTTGAAACGCTATACTAAAACCAAAAACAGGATTTGGCCAACGCATTTGCCTTCTGTGATACCTTACGGTGATACCGTCCAAAGTCTACTTGGTCAAACTTCAGTTTCAAAATTCAAAGATTTATAGGAAGGTAATTGTAAATTATTTTTAATAATCCAAAATATAACAGGGTGTCCCATATAAAAAATCGAACCTTGGTTGATAACTGATACTAAAAATATTACGTTTAAGATATTAATTCTTATACATACAAATTTCCATAACACTGAAGTTACAGTTACTTTTCTAAAATGCACATTTTCGAAAAACACCCTAAAACTCTGAAACGGAATCGGGTATTCTGTAAGGTTTTTTATGGAAATCGATCTCCAGACACCTACATTAGTTTTCGTTTATCTCCTTTAGCAAGGAAGAGTTGCCCTTCAGAAGTTTCCTTATTGCGTTGTTGCAATTACCTAGGGTTATTATGAAATTATTAAAATTACTAGCTATTTTTTCAGAGCACAACAGTTGGTACGATGAGTGCACCTGTTGTCCCTATGGCTACCATATCGACCTTGATTTCGTACGGTATTGCGAATCAATTAGCAAAGAAGCTGATAACCGCACCGGGTCGATCAAACGAAGAAAAGATAGAAGAAGGCAACGGCAGTCCATGGAAGTTCTGTTGGGATTGACACCACCCGTTCTGGCCGCCTTGGAAGGAACCATTAACAAGGTTTGCAAAAAAAATTATAACACACACAACAATGCTTTTACTATCGACGCATTTTGCGCCTTTTGTTTGATAATAATTATCAGCCCGTGTTTGGAAAGATAAGTTCGAAAGCGCTTCGAAGATTTTAATTCGAGTAGTCACATTATGAATTGTTATGGTAAACTTGCTATTTGGAAGAAGAAACCAAAGGCAAGTGTGGCAATCCTTGCCAGATATTTGATAATTTTGCGTGTTCGCGACGAACGAAAGTCAAAGTGAGTGTCCTTATTTTTAGACGAACCATGCACAAGAAGAGCCCAAAATAATTCCAAAACAAACAACGACTTCGACGGAACACTTTCATTTTAACGACGATTTTGACGATGCCGTCTCGGACTTTGAAAGAGCTCTTCAAAGATCTAAAAACAAATTGTCCAATAACCTGCCAGATGTTACCGCCGTCTCAGGTTTGTAATTTATTGTTTGTTAGAGATTTGTTTATTTTTAATTGGGTGAAAAGTGGTCTTGAGAAGCCTACGGTGACGCTTATTTTTAATTCGCCACCATCCGCGCACCTGTTCCTGGTAAATTTGAGAATATCAAAAGAAAGCGAGGACGTTTCCTTGAAAAACACGGGCGTCGCGTTGCTACTTGATGACAATAATTTTGTTGTATCTACAGCCGATGGACTTTGATAAATAGAACATTAACGATACAATCGTTGGTTTCTACTTTGGGTATTGCTAAATTGAAAATTTAATTTAAAAAAAAAACTGTACTTGACAAGAGGAAAGGTAGAATTGTGATAATACGGATCCTTTCGTCTCCTTTTATTGCACTTGTATTTTTTTTTCCTTTCCACCATATGTATATATAGACAAAACATGAACTTTGTAATACTTTTTACAAAACTTCTGGATTCCTCCTGCATCGGTGTTTGCTGAGGCGAAGTTGCTGACGTATGTGTGACTTGTGTATAAATGGGAATCAGTCTTCCGAGACGGTTTTTATGCCCCTCATTTAGCTCCGCCCCCCTCAAGCAATATATAAGCAGGTACAGAGTAAACGAGCCAGTTTCAGTCAAGCTCTGAAGAAGCCAACAGGATGATTGGCGAAACGTCAGCAAAAACCGACGCAGGAAGAATCCCGAAGTTTTGTAAAAAGTATTACAGTAGCCTGTGGAAGTTTCTTTGAAAAAGATAAATAAATTTTGTAGGTTCTAGCTGCAAATAAAAATCCCAAACCTCACAAAAACCGGTGAAAGTCTCTGTTATACCCATCTTTATCTACCTCATTTAGATTTATAGGAATTTACTTTCTAACCGAAAACAGACCCTTCTCGGGATTAATTTAAATACCTACGTATAAATTGTGACCAGGTAGTTGAAAACGCAAGCTGATCGTTTATTTTTAACTGAATACCTGTACAAATGGTACTCCTTTTCACTCCACGCCATTTCGCGGCAAAGATTTTCTGCAGGTTTTGTAAACATTAAAACAAAAAAACTTTTGTTTTTCAATAATTTCTCAACATTATAAATCAACTGATTTATTAAATGTTACATTTTTGTTATGTCCTTATTTTTTAGACCATTTTCATTTTTTGTTTTTTTTTTGCCAATTTTATTCCGGGACACCATAATTTTACAAGAGTTTTCAGAAAATCCGTGTTAAAAATGTTAAAAGTATTTCCTCTTTTTTTATAAGCAAGCTGCATTTTCACTTCGGTACCGCTCACCCAATATATTAGTTTATAAATTACGTCCGAGAATTTGTAGCCGGCGAGGTATGAAAAACCCTTCGGAAACAGTAACAACATACCGTGCGAAGAAACAATCGAGCCATAACTCCTCCACGCCGTTTGTTCATCCGACCTAAACGTACATACTGCGCATGTTCAAACGTTAGTTATTAATTTGTTAAAGTACTTTCAGTTGTTATTTGGGTTCGGAAAAAAAAGGTTCCGCGAAACAAATTGAATGGATCACAGGGAACTTCAACTCGTACGATTATTTTATATATTGGCGTGCGTGTTTTACTCCGGTTTACGAAAATTTGTTTTGTTTATTGATAACATTATCTATATCGATACCGAGCGGCGCGATTACGGATCGACATACGAATTTCAACGGATTAGATGTTATCAAGATTTTCTACTATGCTTAGCGAGTTTGCGAAGGGTACCATCGACGTCGTCTTTGTCGTCCACTTCCGAATCGGTGAGGGTATTACCGATTAATAACGATGGAATTGCGAAAGTCGAATTCGATAGCGTGAGCGTCGAATCTTGCGGCCTTAGCCCTATGGCCCTGCAAAACATCAGGGAAGCCCTAGCTCTGAGCCTCGAACGGACGAAAGAATTAGAAAATCGAGTGCGACTTATACCGGAACTGCAGGTATGACGTATATATTGTTGTAATTATCTCTGGGTCTGTGAACTAGAAAACTACTAAGATCGATTTGATTATATTTAATTGCTGACCAAAAACATATAAAATACAAAGCTGATCATAAAGATATTAGTTTTGAAAAAAAAGTATTTTATTTTATTTATTTACTTATTTTTAGTTTTATATATATTTTTTTATTCGATTGTATATAGGTGTTGTGTTTTTCTAAATTTCTAACACTTGTCGAAATTGCGATTTTTAGTATTGTAATGTTTATCATAAAAACCGTATTTTTGAAAAAATATATTTTACTTTCCTAAATCGAATATTTGAACGAGTAAAAAAATGAAAAATACCCTTACCATTTTTTTTTACTATTTATTTATTATTTTTTATATTATATTATATTATAATTTATTACATTTTTTACCGATTTCTAACAGTTTTTCATATTGTTTCTAGTTGCGATTCACTATCGCAGCGAGTTGCAAATTTAATTGACAGCATTAGTCACTTTATCGTGCCCCATTTAGTCAATAAATAATAAATCCTGCATGTGATTACCGTTATAATTATATATAATGAGCATTGGCGTGCCATAACTTCTTGGATATTGTTTCTAACTCCGAAATTAAGGATAGAGTAATATATCTCTTATTTAGGACAATTTTGTGACTACATTCGAAAGATATACTTTTTAACAATATTTTCAATTATATATGGTTTACCGTAAAAACTTGGCAATACAAAACCATATTCTTAAAAAGAACCCCCCTCAACCTAGATATTTTTGAATATTATGATTCCTATAAAAAATGTTTCTATGAAACAGTAATTGTTTTTAAATTTTATTTTTCAATTTTATAATATAAAGATGTACTGTCAACTAATTTTTCTCTGATTTTTTTTCCCTTTACCTAACTACTCCATCATTTTCAGCTATTACAACTTTTTGTTAAGATTTCCCTATACCAGCGATTCAAGTTTTTCCGTAATATTTGTTTTTAATAATGATTTACAGAAATACCTTAACCTATATCGCTATCTAACCGAGCCGTGAATATAAAATAAAAAGTGATACATGTATATTTTAAATTTAAATAATAGATTAAACTCGCAGTTCGCTGAAAAATGCAGTTAGTTCCTATTAAATAATAAATTGTGGATAAAAAAATACATTTTTTATTGCCATGATATTTTCGATTTTATGTAACAAAATTGTGCGAAATAGGTGAGATATTGTACTTTATCACACTATTGCGCCACACTGTATATCAACCCCGATGCGCGGTGTTGAAAAGAAAAACAATATTTCAAAAATTATATTACAATATGTTCGAGTTTCCCAACTTTTTGCGCGCCACTGGTTATTCTACCCGCATAAATATAACTTCCTAATAAAAATTAAATCGATGCTTTATTTCCCGAGGGTGCATTTGACATATACGTAGGCAATCGTTGGTCGTATGTGAGTTAATCGTCATCGTCTTACCAAGGACCTAAACCTTTCAGTAATAATTTAATATACAACACTTAATTGTCACTTTACGCGTGGCGTCCCCTCAGTAGGTCTCTTTCAGATGAACATCTGGCGTGAGTATGCTCGAAATTTTAAGTTACAATATAAACAAAGGTTTTACTAGTTTTTGAACGCTCTCGACTATGCAAATACTTTCAGTTTGTTTGTCTTACTTAGATAAGGGGATTCATTGTATGAGTTGCCGTTTTCTATCATTGTTGTATATTTTCGACGAAATAAATACCAGGATATTTTGCTAATAATTTGTTGTTCAATTTTTCTTATTTTTTTTTGCACATAGGATCAATTACTGGCGCTAAAACGGGATAATCGGCAATTAAGTGCGAAATTGAAAACCGAAGAGAACTTGCGTCTTCAAATTGTTAACGGGGACTACTTTCAATTAGAAAGGAATCGAAAAAGATCGCAAAGTTTTACCCACATCGACAGTTTCGATAGTCAAGCGGCTAGTAAGAAAGAACCTCCAGCACCACCCCCAAGAAAAGACTTTGGCGTAATGTGCGGGGTACTAACGCGAAACATAGGAGTCGGTCATCACTACCCCAACACTAAACACGCGGCAACCACCACCGCCAATTTGGAATACTCCGACAAATGGTTGGCGGAAAAAGCAAAATTTTTAAACAACCAAAACATCATTCCGTGTAAATCGACTGTTACCAAAGGAACTCAGACTCTTTTCGTCAAAGAGAAACGAGACGTTGGTATTCAATCGGCGAAAGAAAAGTCTTCGACGTCGCATTTTTCTTCTCAGACCGTGAACGTAAAACCGGAAGTTATCAGTTTAGGAATAATGGCGACGGTCAGTCAGTCCAACGCTGCCGTACAGAAGAACGTAGAAAGTAACACGATTGGCTGTTCTGACGACAGCATTAATGACGAAATTTGCGTCAAATGTAGAATTTTAAAGCATTCGATTGGTATCGGACCAGATAAATGCGAGGACGTTCACACCGCGCCAGTTTCGTTAGCCTTACTAAGTGCTAGAAGCAAATCTTTCAATTTAGGTGAAGAAGGGAGGAATTTTAATAAAAGAACTAGAAGCGTGGGATGCCAATATGAACCGAATAGTATTAGTAGGGCGTGTCAATTCCGTGTGAAAACGCAATCGCAATCTTCGCAGCACGAACTGAAATATTCCGAAAAATCGGCTCAATACGAGCACAGTTTGGTTTCTAAACTGATAGGCACCGACGATCTTAAACTGGCAGTTAGACACGTGGCGTCTGAAGCTAAAGAAGACTTGAAACAAACCAGAGAAACGAGTATCAACACCGTGCCGCTTGATTTGGAAAAATCTTGCCCAAAGTGTTCTACCAGAGAAAAAGAAGATGCTAAAGAATTTAAGAAAGAAGCTGGCAGTCCCACTCCGTCCAGGATACCAGTTCCGACAACCCCGATAGAAGCTAGGAAATTTAGACGGCAGGACACGTATACCAAAATCTACCCCTCGTCACCAACGGATAGATCACCGCCACCAACACTGATGTAAGTAGGCTTGTCGAACCCTTCGCGTGGAACAAAGCGTAGTAGTAGACATTTCCTATGGAATAAGACGCATGCGCTCTTCAATGGCGCGGTTATTGATAAATTTCGAGACATTACTTTTTGCGAGCGAGGTTTGGTGTGCTCCCGCGCTTGTTTATTTTATTTTGAGATGGCTTAGAGAATCAACAATTGCTTATTTCGAATGTTAACTCCTAAGCAAAGTAGTCAAAATGCGCATTCCTCTTACATGCATCAGCATATCCTTTTAACTAGGTAACTCTTTGCTGTACCATTTAGGTGATTGATATTTACAGTAAAATTGACGTTTTTTTGCAGATTATCCGGGTTAGATTTGTCCCCAAAAGCCGTATCAGCCGAGTCTATTAGTCCTTTTGACAAAGTTAAACAGAATCTTAGACTAGAAGCTCCAACGACCTCATCTGATTCCAAAGTACAAAACGGGGTTAGCTTGGGCCCGATTACCAAAGTTCAAGTACAAGAAACTATACTGCCAGTATCGGAATCAACAATTTTTCACCCATCTTCTCAAAATAGAAAAATGTAAGTGCATAGAATACAATTAAGGGGATAAAATCTGTATATCTAACTTTTGAAATACAAAGAAAATAACATTTTCAAGAAAAAGAATATTATCTAAGAAAATATTTCAGATATTTTTGTCAAATTTAATAAATTCAATTTTGGACATCATTTTAATGGTAGTGGCATCCGCCCGCGATTTTTATCCCATATTTTTAAGAAAATAATGAATAGATGAATATTTTCATTGGATAGCCTAGTTATTTTAACGTAAAGGTCACCTCTAGTACTTTTGTCAGATCCACGGTTCGTCGTTAAAATAATTAAATTCAATTAATTAATTTCGTTTTTGCAGTTTTTTTATTAATTTGCTGTCATCTTAAACCTTGAGACCTATAGGACATAGGTCAATATAAAGTCTTTCATAATTATTTAATTTTTTTTAATTCTGGGTTTATTTTTGATTTTAAACCACTCTTTTTTTATTTCTGTGCCTTGATGTTCTTTAAGAATTTTAATATATTGGTGTCAAGTCATAGACAGCAAAAGAACTAATAGAAGTGTTTGTTCTCACGAAGCTACTATTTTTAAAAATGTTATATTCATACTTTGGAGGAACAAAAAGTACCTATTTAGAAATACAAAGAAAAAAGTAAACGAAAAAAGGCCGGTATTTCCGGGTTTAATATAATATAATTGACAATTACAGCACCAAATCATTTTCTTTGTATTTAATGACAGAGTTAGTCCATCGAGAGAAATGCAAGGCGCCATGAAGGTTCTAAACGACTCACTACAAAAAAGCTCCAAAGTCATAAAAAATCAAAGTGCGGTGACTATTGTGCAAGAAGAGTGGTTCAAGATTTCAAGCCTTGTTACTGCAAACCCGTTAGATGTTGAAGACTACCTTGATGCATTTGAAGAGATGTCATCTTTGTTACTCGAGTATGTAGTCAATATGACTGACGTAAGTGGCAACACTGCCATGCACTATGCCGTCTCATATGGAAACTTTGATGTGGTATCAATTTTGCTCGATTCAAAGGTTTGTGATATTAATAAACCCAACAAAGCAGGCTATACAAGTGTTATGTTAGTCTCATTGGCTGAAGTTAGGTCTCAGACCCATGCAAATGTAGTGAGGAGGCTATTCCAATTAGCCGATGTCAATATTAGAGCCAAACAGGTGAGAATCTTTGACATGATGATATTATAATGCTAATAATTATTGTAATTGTCAGCATGGTCAGACTGCTTTAATGTTAGCTGTAAGCCATGGACGGTTCGACATGGTCAAAATGTTACTAGACGCGGGTGCTGATATAAATATACAAGATGAAGATGGAAGCACAGCGCTCATGTGTGCAGCTGAACATGGTTATATCGAAATTGTAAAGCATTTTCTCAATCAACCGGATTGTGATTCCAGTATTACTGATGTGGTACGTAATTAAAGTATAGAAAATGTCAGCACAAATTTTAATTTAACAAATTTTTTTATTGCAGGACGGTAGTACAGCCTTAAAAATAGCGATGGAGGCAGGTCACCGGCACATTGGAGTACTTCTTTATGCTCATGAACGAAACTATCAGAAATCTCATTCCAGCAAATTAAAAAAGACCAAATCCAGTAGTCCTAAAACCCCTTCTTCCCCTTTGCCCATAAGAAGTAGTCACCGTGCCTTAACAGATACCAAGAAATAGGGAATTACAATGTCTATAGTGTTTTAAATCTTTATTTGCATTGGGTTAATTCATTTGAAGGCCTTAAAAATTCAGATTAAAAAAAAAAATTATATGACCATATATACTTTCAAATGAACCATCCCAAGGGCGCCAAATGTAATTTTACGACTTACTGGGACTTTAGTTTAATTCAATCAACAAAAATATTGAACTGATGTAAACGGTATAATATCAAAAAACCCTCAGAATTTGTAAATAGACAATAAGGTAACATTGAAAAGAATAATGTTTAACTAGACTGTATACTTTTGTATTGAATTTTTTCTAGTGTTTAGGTTGGTAACAAAATGTTTTGTAAAGTTTTTATTATACTTATCGTTATTATACATTTCTCTGAATTTAAACACCACATAGTAACATTCCATTATTTCTAACTTCATGAATCCTAATAAAATATTTTAGAACATTTAAAAGTATTTTTAATTCATACGACGTTAAGGCCAGATGTTCCGTACATTTGTGATTCTGTCAAACAATAATAAAATGGTTAGTGTGTTGCCGTCTTATTTGCTCTGAGCTGTAAAAGATGTCTGTAGCTTTTCAGAAAGAAATATAAAAAGTTAAATAAAAAATTTTGCATTGCACAACTGATATTTCTTATTTTGTAAGATAAAATGCCTTTTATTTTAGCTGAGGGTTCACATACTTAACAATTGACGCCGCTCATTTGTGTGTGCAATAATAATTGTTTTATTTTGCTACTTGTTACTTATTAAAATGAAATTTCTTATCTAATATGTTGTACTAAAGAAATAAATTAAAATTGTTCATGTTTTATTATCTATACATATACTTAAAGGCAAAACAAAAACAAGCTATGTCTAAAGTTTTTTCTGTTTCCGTGGTCTGGCAGGAGTCCAGGATACCCTGGTATTGTCAGTTACCGATACAATCTCCAAGCCAGCCATTTGCAACCCTTTAATAGAAGACATTCTGCCAGGTCCAAGACCTCTGACACGTACACGCACTGTTTTAATACCCCTCTCCAAAACCTTGGTTCCTAAAGTTATTGCAGTTGCTTGGGCGGCTATATTGGTTCCTTTTCTGGTATGCTTAAATCCCTCCACACCGCATGATCGTATTAACTGCGGTATACCCTTTGAATTTGTGAAATTGATAATCGTGTTATTGTGAGTAACTCTGATATTACATATCGGTAGATCCTTATAAGGTATGCCACGAAACAATTTATTCTGTGTATGCTCGTCTGGGAATAGATCCACTTTGTCGTATATTAAAGAATCCACGTCTATATTATTTTCTCCCACAGTACCATCGTCTGCTCTTGGTAAAGACTTCAACATTTCTTTCCTATCTATAACTTCGCGGAAATTACTTGCACTTATTTGAAAACTGCGGACACCATTCTGCTTAACAATTTCCCCCACGGGCATTAGTATCTTAACCAGACTTGATAAATGCCTTACAATCATATTTCCTAACAAAAAGTAAACTTTAAGGTTAGCTCAATAAAATTTAAGGTTAGATTAAAGAATTAAAGCCTTAGACATAGGCAACCCGATATTTTCAATCGTAATTAAAAAAACTAGATTAGAAAATATTAAACATTAAAAGAAAATACTGTTGGCTCTTCACCCATAATCGTGGGCCACGTATCCTAAACGTGTGCTCACTTTCCGGGCCAGAAATCTCTCGAAATCTAAGGTGGCCAGGCTCGATTTACTTCCCTGAACAAGAAGGACTACGCAGGCTGTGTCCTACCCGCTACCCATGATGATAAACAAAACAAGTGAAATAAAAATTTCCACAAAGAATTTAGTCATTACTCTATCCAATGTTATTAATCTAGTTACATAGGAAATTATGTTTTTTAGTGAGCAGCCAATTTTAATGTCTATAGTTATTCATGAGAACATTCGCAGCCTTAAATGTGAGAAATAATTCCACATGGGACTATAATCGGCAACAAATGGGGAACAGATCGAGTGCCACCTGAAATAGGATATTAAGGTTCAAACACTAGTTTGAAAAATCATATCCCTAGTATATATATTTAAGCAAACGATACAAATTCTTTCAATAAAAGAAAATCTTTCCTTATATTTTGCGTTTGTGCAGTCACTTTTATTATACGGCATTATCGGCTGGGGTGGTGGATATAAAAGTTATCCCAAAATATTAGAGATTATTCAGAAAAGTTATATTTCAACTTTACCAATGCAGGGTATTAACTATTCGACAACTATACTATAACGATAACGTAACTATCCTGAAAACTCATTATTTAACAACCACATGCCTCGTGATCACTTTACTAGAGAAAAAACAAAAGAAAACTTAACATAACCATTTGCAAAAAGGGTAAAGAACATTTCTATATGTTGGAAATAAATAATATATATAATATATAAATTGTCTAATCGGTTAGTGGAAAATTGTCGCACAGTCATTGACTAAGTTTAAAGCTATGACTAAAAGCAACTTCAATTAATGCAATTAATGGTCCCTCTTCCCTTCATTTGGTCAATTTGTTTTTATAGCATTATATATTTTACTTTGCCTGGGTTATTTGTAAAATAAATAACACTTAAGGTAGCAGACGAGTCCGCAACTCAAGCTTAATTAAGTGTTATGAATTCCATCACAAATGTTATTATGGTGTTTTATTTTTTTGTTTATCCCAAATTTAAATTTAATACGCTATTAAACTAAAGTGTACGATCTAGCGTTATGTTGAGGTAAAAGCTTGTATCTTATGGGCAATAAACAATTTATTATTATTATTATCTTTAAAGAGCGACCCCCACCCTCGAAAATAGGGACATCGCTGGCGCCGATATTAACTAGATCGAGTAGCCCCTCTGAAATGTCTCTGCCTTATGGAAACCTATATGTGTTCGTTCGTCAACCTGAAATAAGACGCTACGAAATATTTAAACCAAAAAAAAATACTGGAACTTCTCAAACCGGAGAAAATTGCGGGACACTACTGTTCCTTATTTCCTCCGTATTTGGTTGATAGGGCAGCATGAAATGAATCGACTTCATTTGGGCTAGCTGAAACAACTTTTAACTAGTATCCAAGAAAAAACAAAAACTAAATGTAATTAAGCATTAATAAACCCTGAAAACAAAGTTACTTAAATTAGTGTAAAGAAAAAACGTGATAGGAGACCCTGAAAGAAAAATTGGGGGTTGGTTTTTAGTTCCTCATATTACTTTTTTCTTCTTACCTAAAAAGACTTATTATAACAGTTATTATAATAGTGACATTTTTTTTTTAAACTTGTAACTAACTTTGTTTTTATGCAACTGGCATATTATTTAAAATTAAAAACTGTGCCGTTTGGTTGTTAACTAATTCAAAATTCGTACAGATTACTATTCTGGCGCATTCTCCAGAAATGCAAAAAAAAAATTGCTGCATTCACACAACACTGCGAAGAAAATTCATTTTCGATTTTACAGACAAATAGATACGTTACAATAACTATTGATAAGATTTTTATACTATATATTTTTGAGTAACATTTTTGTTTTGTTTACAAAACACACCACTGCAATTAGCTTTAGTGTGTTGTCCAAAATATAACCGAATGTGTGATGTGCAATACTTTGTTCTCGTTGAGCAACATGGAAGGCTTGAAATTTCAGTGAAAAAAGCAGTTCAATGTGCCTTTTGCTAGAGGAGAAATCTTAGTCAAATTTAAAAATATAAATGAAAACTGCGATGCGGCGATATTAAATACTGAATTGCGGAGGTGACTGTTTTTAAAAAATCATTCCGTAACAGTTTAAATAAAAATCAGTGATTCAGGGCCGCCTAATTTGGCTAGGACACTATCTCAGAAAAGGAAGTCCATGTCTATAATTACGAATTCCTTCTTTAAAATGTTTAAATGAAAAATTGATTGGTGAAATAAATTCTCTTCTGGATAATAGATGTCGCTCCAAATTCTAAATTAATCTATCATCTGGAAGCGATGCTGTTTTTTGTAAATGATGAAAAACCAGTCGGGTCCGTTTTGGTGCATATTAAGATCGGCGAATAGGGAGCGTTGTTACTTAAAGATTTTCTCGTCTTTTGTGAAGTATTGACGTGGTGACTCAAAAGAAGTGTATGTTCTGCGTTATAAAAGTTTTTTTCGCTCGTGTACCGACAGAGGGACTTAACACCTGCTCGTTCTTGCGCAGGTAATCGCTTGAGAGACACATTTTTGAATCGTCGTGCTCGACGACGTTAGAACAACGCTTTCGCGTTGTTTGAGACCGGCCGGTTTTGGCCCGTACAAATTCCTGCTATGGCTGCTACCAGTGTTGTTGTTCTTGACAGAGGGAACAACACAACATGTACCATCAATTTACATGGTGAGTAGTTTGTTCTGCTTGTTTATATTTTCCGCTTCAATTTTTTTTGGATCTTTTCGGAAATTTGAAGACAAATTATTTTAGGAGCTACTGTAGTCTCATGGCGCGTAAACAATCAAGAGCAATTGTTTGTTAGCAAGCAAGCAGTGTTTGATGGTAAAAAGGCAATAAGAGGGGGAATACCATTTGTATTTCGTAAGTTTAGTTTAAGGGCTGAAATAATCAATTCTTTATTGTTTAATTTGCTGTAGCTCAATTTGGACCCTGGAGTTTTGGACCCCAACATGGTTTTGCCAGGATCATTCGGTGGAATTTGGAAAAAGCTCCTGAACGCTTGGCAAGTGGTGATGTTGAAGCAATATTTTCTCTTATGGACTCAGACTTTACACGTTCTATGTGGAATTACCAGTAAGAGTTTAAAAATGAGAAAAGGCAACAATATGTTACATTTTAACCTCTTTGTTGCAGATTTCGTTTAACTTACAGACTGATTCTTCGGGAAAAAGAACTGCATTTTAACATAGGGGTGTATAATTTGAGTAAAGACATGACTTTTACTTTCAATATGCTGCTTCATACTTACTTTAAAGTTCCTGATGTCCGTAGATGTCAAATTACTGGCCTTCAAGGCTGCACATTTATGGATAAAACTAGAGATGGCACTATTTACCAGGAAGCCAGAGATGTAGTTACAATTAATGAATGGACTGATAGGATTTATCAAAACACTCCACAAGAGCATATTATTACAAATGTGGTATCTGGGAGGAAGATGAGGATTCAGAAATACAATTTCCCAGATACTGTATTGTGGAACCCTTGGGTAGATCATGCCAAAGATATGTCTGATTTTGGGGACGACGAGTATCCAAATATGGTATGTGTTGAGGCTGGACATGTTTCAAGCCCTGTGATACTTTTGCCTGGAACTGCTTTTGAAGCAAGTCAGATTTTACAAGTTATGTAAAATCAAGCCGTCCTTTACAGTGAACTGTTTCTAGAAATTTATTTAATTTGCTTTTTGATTTTGTCTTTTGGTAAGGTGATATTTTTATTTAAAGGAAATTAATGACTGTTTTCTGTATTCTTTTTATTTAACTTTTGATCATAGGAAGGAAGGCTGACACACTGTACATTGACAAACAAATAAGCAATTATTTTGTGACTGTTATTACAAAATAACAATGTTTGTGTGGAATTAATAAAAAGCAATAGATTAGATTAAAAACAATTGATATTAATTAATTAATTGTGACTGTCAACAGGTATACAGAAGATATACCTTTGCTCAACATTCCCAAAAAAACCTTTTAGCCTTAAATTGTATACGACTGGTAGAAATTTGTTCTCTCGTGCAATAGTAATTGTGAAGTTATACTTTTGATAGATAACTTATTGTTAGAATTTGCTTTTTATTTTAAATAAATTATTACTGTATATTTTTGTTCCATTTATATTCTTGCATCCTCCACAGCTCCTTTTTAACTCCTTTGATTATACTTATTTTTATCACTATGGTGGTGGTGGTAGAGTTCTCCAAACAACATACCGTTTTTTTTGGTAAAATACGCCATTTAACTTTGATAAATTTTTGTCAATTTCTAACTGCAGGCCTACCTTCTACCTCGCTTGGTCACCCTCAACAAAAAGATTCGCACTTCCACAATGAAATTGCAGAACTGTACTTTGGTACTTTGTGCATAAAAAAGCTGAAAGCTGACGGATTTCTGTAGAGTTTCATCAGTGAGATTCCTCAATTATCATTAGTCCATACAGTAAAAAATCCATTCTTACTTTTAAATGCTACTCTCAAAAGTCCGCACGGCACAGTTCTTGTCGGCTAACATCTTAAATACGGCCCTAGCGTGTGGTATAAGTGCTTCTGCTTTACAATAAGCTGGATTTAAACTCATTCCGAAGTCAAAACCATAAAAGGTTGTAAAAACGGTATATAGGTACCAAATTTTGACTCAATTTTTATACAATATGGATTTAATATAAGCTTGTTAAAGTTCATGTTTGTGAACGATTAATTTTTTTTTTGGAATAAAAATGAACGCTGTTTGAGTATTTATTAGTTCTGGAAATTGATTTCTTAGGTTTTGTTGCAAAAAACTGAATATATCAGGTATTTTTTTTTAGTAAACGGTAATTCCTGTCACCTATTGTAGCATAGCACTTGTAGCCTAAGCTGTGTTTTGTTTGATAGCCCTGGTGCTAGTTGCTTTTTCCGGTAACTAATACACAAGGTGCAACAAATGAAAACTACAAGTAAATTGCTATAAACTTTTTTTATTTTTAATGTAGATACAATAAACTTTTTTATTATTTGTTTTTCCAGCAGTAGCACTTACTCAGTCATCGCATATTTAGCGGCAGAAATCAGCGGTGTGTCTCAAATAACTATATAAATAAATAACGGAATTAAGTTTTAGCGAAATTAAATAACATTTAACGATAATAAAGCGATAAAGAGATCTGTAAACAATAATTCCTAATAATAAGACAGCTCTAGTTACTGTACAGTATATTGACAAGAAATATAAAGTAATTTAATCCTATTATAACAAAACAGTCTCAATATAACGAAATATTTAGACGCGCTGTCTAAAACAAAAAGTTAGTTTTGAAGCGACACCAGAATCAGATCACCTAAAAGCGTAAATATATTAACTTAGTAATATATATTTTTAAATACCTATTAGAGAAGTTGCAATAGCGTAAATGTTAAAATACATAAGACAGTCAAGGTTACCAAGCGTTTTGAAGCAAAGTTTGCCTTGAAGCCATCTGATTCGGGTGCATCTCAAAATGTTGTATCGCAAACTGGCCAATAAACGACAATGTCGCATTCTAGAGGCCTCAACTCACGTTTATTTGGCTATGGGCCAAAATCAGTATGTCTTTTTTCTCTTTGGGGAATCGCAGTTCGCGTCCTGCTAATCTTGCAGACTCCAGTTCCCTTTCGGCTTGATTTAGTTCTTTTCGTAGTGAACCAGGACTTTCTTGTTCCCTCGCTATCCAATCTAACGCCATTTGGGATCTCATGTTGTCATCTAAAGCCCTGTTTGAATAATGAGCAACCACCTCTTGTCTGCTACATTGCCGTTCTCGCATCGCTTTGAGACTACCATTCCAGTGTAACAATTGAAATACCTGTTAAAAAGTTACATAGCATTAATTAACAGAAATGCTGAGGCGTCCTGCCAGAAATAACATTTATGACTCTGGGGAAATAACTTGTTTTTGTTTGTTATTCTTTAAACATATTTCCAGTTGATTTAATATTATGCTCGATACTTACGAGTGCCCCGAAGTGCTTAGGGAATACGGGCAATACGGAAGACCTTTCTTGAATTTTGTATTTATGTTTAATGATCAGCTTACCGTCATTAATTCCTGGAATTCGAGCATTGTACGACCTTTGTTCGATTCTAACATAAATCTGAAAGCTCCTATGCCTGTGTTGGGATTATCTGCTTCTTCAGGGTCGCCTTTGAAGTTGCTCCTCGCATCGGTCACTGCTTTTTCAATAAAATCATCCGAGATTCGCCTCGAAGGGTGTTCGTTGAACACGGAATTCATTAACGCTATTTTGGCAGCGCTTCGCCTCGCTTCCGCTTTGGTAGGACAGTTCTACGAAACGCAAAGTGCCATTAAACTTGGGATTTTTGGGAATTGCGTTTGGATGTACCTGGAAACTGCCAAAACAAGAACCTCCCGGCAAGGTGACGTAACAAACATACGGTTGAGAGTTTGACGGTACCGATTCGTAAATGACTAAAGCTCCGTTTCTCAAATCTGCACCTCTGGCTTGCTTCATTTGCCAGAATTCTTGTAAAGCTTCGACGACGTTGACTGTAATAAAATATGCCGTTTATTTGCTAAATGTATTTTTTGGATATCACAGCATTACATGACTTAGTCACTTCCTTTATCCATACTTTTTATGAAACCGTGGTGCATTACGCAATATGTGATATGCAATACAGGGTTACGCGCGCCTCTGCCTTTGTCATAAATTATATGTATCAGAAGTAAAACTATATTTATTCGAATAAAAGTAAATATATATTCCGAATAAAATAAAAAGTGCCTATTAAAAAAACCTATAATAATATGCCTACCCCAAAAACAAAATCATTAACTTGAAAAACTAAGCTATATAGCGTAGGAGAGAAGAACAAAAACGGAAACAAATAAAAGAAACTTAATTTCCTTTGATAAATATTAAGGTTTGTCCTGTGCGAACGTGGAGAGATAAGTCTTGTAAATCTCAAAATTTTAAGATAAAATAACCAGAGAATTTAATTTACGTCTAATATAGCACATACTAAGCTAATTTGCATCTTATGATTTGCAAGACTGGAATAAATTTTCGAGCTTTCTCTAATCTTGTTCTAAGCTAATTTATCTAGACAAATTTCATATAATACAAAACCATAAATGAAACGGTTTAATACGAGCTAATCACTTAATTTGATTTTCAGATGTTCACCTGATAAGTGCTTTCGGATACAATATGTTTAATGAAAGATAAGCGTTCTGCATACAGCTTACAATATGTTTTTTTGAATCGTAAATTAGTCTCAAGTTGAAGAAGTAATTTGTAGTTTTAAGTTAAATAAATCGTAAAAGTCAAACTTTAACAAAGAAATTAGCAACAAGAATATTTTTTATGTATATAGTCGACCGGATTTTTATTTCCTCGGCCGTTTGGAAGTTTTCTATTAACCTTCGGTACCATCGATGATTTATTTATTGCTAGGGAACCGCTGACAAGAAGGTATAAAAACGATTTATAACTTTTTCAACGTTGGCACGTCGTAAAATTTTAAATGGGTTGTTTGTACATGGAGCGTTTCTGTTGGAAGTCGACTGCAATTTTTTTATAGGCGCGGTCATGGGCTTTTATATCATAAAAAACGCTTACTATGATGGAGAGAATAAAGTACATAATTCTGCAATTGTTATTCGTAAAACATGGCGGGATCGCAATAATTATCAGTACTTTTATTCATGAGTTTGCGTGGTTGGGTATATCTAAAATGGATTCTAATAGTAAATTTGCTAGTCGCCACGTTGCCGGATCTGACCGTTTTTCTTATTTAAACAATAGCAACGCATTGTCGCTGACTGCAAGCGTGAGAAAGTACACTTTAATAGCACAATCTTGGACGATCGGCGCTTGAAGAAAAAAGAACTCGACGTTTATTGCCTCTATAAAGGCAAGTTTTTAAACTTTTAATGGAACGAGTCAACAGTCGAAACGAAAATTTATTCCGAATTCGGAAGTTTTTTGCCGTCTGGCGATGTAGCGGGCCAACGCGAATTCAACAGCGTTGTCATATCTTGACGTCCCGACTCTCGTCTAATAATCCGTTCTTTCCTCAATAAAAAAAAATTACAGCCTCTCGAAGGATAATGTGAGACATTAGGACATGTTTGTTTAATAGGTATTATATATAATTTTTTTAAGTTATATTCTCAAGTTTCAAATTAACTCTACATTGCAATCTTTTAATTACATTGTATATTTTCTTTATGACTTTAAATGATTTATAGTACATATACGACTTAGCATATAAGTAGAAGTTATATTGAACGTAACTGTCAAATACCATTTAATTAAAAAAAAAACATGTTTTGAATTAAAGGGCGAGGTGACTTTTGATGTCCGTTATTATGCGATAAATTTCAAACGACTTAAGTTTTTATTCGATTGTTTGAGAGACGTCGCTGTTTTCGATAGGCCTTGTGCCAACGTTGTTCCGCGAGAAGCAAAATGTATGTCAACAGTGCATTCAAACGGCTTTCGACATTGTTTCGAAATAAATATACTTAATAACAAAATGATAGTAGCCACACAATAATATCGGCGTCGAACCCTGTTTATGAATAGCATTAGCATTATCCTGTTACACTTAGATGGTTTTTAAATCTCTATCTCGAGCCTTGGGCGATTTTATTAAAGCATTAATAACATATTATATTTTTGCTGCTCCTTTCTGCAAAATATCCAATTGTCCACGGGTCAGGCGTGTGGAAAGTCACTTTAGATATCAGATATCAGTTTTGCGAAAATGTACCCACAGAATAATGGTAGTAGAAAAAGTTTAGTATGCAACGCGTGACTAAATTGTCAAACTTGTTGCATGATATACCATTGTCGTGTCTCAAAAATCAGTAAATAACGTTTCCCATCTTTTTTCTCGAATCTCCCTCGTATCACAATTCGTAATTATTACCGAGCAAAAAAATAAATTAATGGCAGGCCAATTATTCTTGTTTTGTCGATCAAAAATCGTTGTCAGTGAGAAACAAAAGATGGTCGCGAGGTGTATGGGAACAACGTATAATAATTTAATAATTGGCACCCAGGTACCACTACACGAGGTTCGGGCGCTTGGTACCGATCAAATTACACGCCACAGCTCGCTTCTTCGTCTTTATCGGCTCCCATGGACCGCGGGGTAATTTCCTGTGTGTGTGTGTGTGACGGCGGCCCCTGGAAATGACTCCGTAATCCGTTCACTGTCTCATTTTCTGCGGGTATGGCGACGGCGAAGACGGTTACCTACGTTGCCACGTTTCCAACCGGAATAACATGGCCCACATTTTCGATAAAACGCTTAATCGCGGTAACCAGTCTGGTCGTCGACTTAATTCGCCTCTCGCCAAATGCAAGCCATTTTAGATTAATGTCTTTAGAGAGTAACATTTTCAAAATCTCGTTTGTTTTTATTTCGTCTTTTATTGCAAAAAATCCACTTTCAGTCAAGTCAATTTATAATATTCATTCGTCATCAAACTTAATGCCATTATTTGAGTACATGATCTAATTTTTCGCCAAGTACGTCTTAGATTTTCCATGGACAGAGGTGCCTCCATTTAAATCCAAACGTCTCCACTTTAAAAAGTGGAGACATGGTAATAACGGCCATTTGGTGACATGTCTCAGACTAATGTACTCTATTCTGTACCCATATATAAGTTGTTCGAAGTTATCTATTACAAGGGGAAATTTTAGGTTTTGTATTTTTATGAAATGGGACTATTTAACACAATTTTTGATAGAGTTGCTGCTAATATATAGTCCAAAGGGGCGAACTGAACTATTGCAGAAAAAAAGGTCGTATTTGCTTTGATCTCTAAATTAAAGACATGCAGGATCTTGTATGAACAGTCCTCAATTGACAATTCTAACAATACAAATGGCAAGAAATTACAAAGGACAGTTGTACCAGTCAAATTAACGCATTTAGGAATAGGGTAGACTTAAATTTAAAATAACTAATTTCTTGAACCTCAGCGTAATGGTTCTGTTTCTATGATAAAGGTACTAACCTCTATAACCGACATCATCATAGAGCTGTAGTGGTGCGGTAGCGGAACAAGCCCACTGAGGGTCAGGATAAACCATCATGGCGGGTCTGTCCTGGTTTTGAGAGGTAGGGCTTTTCTGAGTGACGACTGTGGCCTCATCTGAGCCTCCCGATTGATCGAGAATTCGCCGCGAGACTAGATCGCGGCCCGCGCATGCGCTGCGCATCAATGTCGATGGGCAATGGTCTGAGGCCGGACCTGACCAGTCGGCCCGTTTCACATTTCACTAAGGTGACCCGGCTCTGGTGATATCGACGATCGACCAAGACGAAGGCGCCTGAATTTGATCAGCTGAAATGAGAACAGCCATCCCATTCTTAAAGCGGTTGATTAAAAATTTCTTGATAAGTTTTTATGGGCGATTTTTTTCGACTGTCATGCGGTTTAGTTAAGTTTAAGGTCGTAAAATTTGGGTTTCTAGTATTAATATTTAATTTGTATATATGGTGAGTTGGGGAACTAAAAAATCACAGACATCGTTCGAACAAATACGTGGCGATTTCGGAAATGTAACTTTGGACATGTTTCAGTAATCCGAGACGAATATAAAGGCAAATTGGCAAACGAGACGCGCGAGTGCGGCGTTGCCGGGTCGCCGAAAAAAATCGTGTAAACCCGCAAATAAATCCGGTTTTAATCACCAAGGTATATTAATTAATATGAGTTGTCTTACATGCGCCTGCAACGCGAATTGTCACATTAAAGTTGCCTGACAAAATCGCCGCGATTTAACACACAAAACATTCGGAATTGCGAGGGACTCACTAATACTGCGACCATTTACAGGAATTTTACGCGGTTTTCGTAGAATTTTATTAAAGTTTCGCGATGCGGCAACACTGTTGAGAGGTTAGGTGTCAGTGGCACGGATTCATCATCAACAACAGTCACCGACCTCGATCACGATCTCCAAGCTGTTCCAAAGCACCGCGCTGACTGCCGACTGCCGGGTGTTGGGATGCATCCAGTACCAAGTACTCTTCGCACACTGTTGCCACATAGGGCGATTTGTGGTGAGCTTTAACAATTTCGCATAACGACCGTCATCGTGCTACCGTCTAAGCTTATCACATTTCGAACGGAACCATAATTAAAATAATTATTATTTACTTAGCGACGGAGATATGTAAATGACTGCGGATTAGCAGGGGATTCGCTGTCCTTGCGACTTACTAATAACTTGTTTTTGGATCGTTAGCTTAATGACTATTTTTTACCGCAGCAGCTAACTTTTCCTGATCGGATGGAATTACTAATTGATTTCATCTTATAAAGCTTCGCATAAAAATGATTCGTTTTAAATTAACGTCGATTTGCTTGGCGTTTTTCGCGATAAACTTGGCAGCAACGTCGAGGCACTAACAGCCAAATGAAACGAAACCAAAACTGCGGTTTTCCCAGACATCGGCACAATGGTACCTCAACTGATAACGGTGACAAAATACATATATGAAACTCGTCTAAATGTAAATATGAAGAAGTTTTTGCAGACGTCACCACACGGAATGCAAATGCATACGTCTAGCAAACTATTAGACACGAATGACGGATATATCCGATTTTTGGTGGATTAAAATTTTTTTTATGCCCAACTGCAAATTCTATTTTGTATTGATCGCTACGTCGTTCTTTCTTGAACATGATAGAGTTTTATTTTTTCAATTAAATGGTTTTGAACTATTTTCAAAAATATGGTTAAATATATAGAAACTATCTGTAACAAGTTTTGGTTAGTTTCGTATTTCTACCATTAAGAGCTAATGTTATCTCGTAACTAAAAAATTTAAGGGCACAGAAAAAAATGTTTTTTTTGATTAATTACTTAAAATTCGGTTAGCTGATTTTGACAGCAATTGGAATGCTTATTTGTCGTCGCAAGGGCTTTTATTTTGTGCTAATTAAAATAAATTAATTCAGAGGGTCATCTAATTGAATTTAAATGCTATTGATTTTTTTAAGATTTTATATTTTTTAAGATCCTCTCTATTTTTGTAAATAGAAAAAATGAAATAAATTAAAAATCGTTGCTCTGCGTTTTCCTGCACATTCCAAAGAAATGGATTTTTTATTAATTACTCAAACTTTTTTTGAGTAATTAATGAAAACCTTATTTTTATAAAAATACCCCGAAAAAAAACTAGTTAGGTCACATGTTTATGTTTTTGGCTGATAAATACACCCTTATTGAACAAAATAAATAAGAACTAAAAGTTCAGATTTTCACGAAATTATATATTTTGACATGACAATTGTTTCGACAACACCATTGATAAAGACACGGTGTTGTCGAAACAATTGTCATGTCAAAATATATAATTTGGTGAAAAAATATGAACTTTTAGTTCTTACTGAATTTTATATTATATATGTATATATATATATATATATATATATATATATATATATATATATATATATATATATATATATATATATATATATATATATATATATATATATATATATATATATATATATATATATATTCTTCCTCTCTACGACAAAATAATCACAAATCAACCCCAAGCAAATCAACGAGCTCAGGCAGCGGCACTTACTGTATTTTAGGTAAAAATTCCTAGAGACGGGGCCTCAAAGTAGCGTCGAAACGTCACGAGCGTCTAGCGTAAGTGTCCGAAAAGCATCCACCGGCTTCGATGACGAAGAGCAACGGCTAAACTGCTGCAACAAGTTGGAAAGTCAAGCGAGATCACGTCTTCGTATCGTCGCGTATTGTGTATTTCGCGCAACGGCTATCAAATAACTGTGATTGCAGACTGCTACATGTTCTTGTCCTGCTCACACGATCTGGACTGTTCGCGATGTCAAGGTCGGAAGTATGGCAGGCGGAAGATTTGGCTGATGATGCGATGTCATATGTAACACATACATCGCCATCTAAACCTTTTCCATTCGCCACGTTCTCACGCTTTACTTTACTTAGCCTGGCATCTAGAATCTCAAGCCTCAACGACGGGCCTTGGTTGCCCTGCCTTTACTCAGACCCATTCCAAAGAAATTTAATGGTACTTACTATGCCTTCGCATAAAAAATCAAATTTTTCCATCGAAAATGCATCGGAAGTGCAAAAATCTAGGCAATGCAGGTAACTGACATCGATGTGAAACTTCTTCCGCGTATGGTAGAGACCTTTTTAATCAAAACTGGTATACCCTTCATGCGTATTACCGTTATTAACACGCCAAAATGTCAGTCGAGTTCACCCACACAATTTTCGCGCAAGTAGAACTTACTAGCCTTGGATTTTCGCATAATTCGAATCAATTTAAATGAATGTCCAGTTTTTATTAGATATTTATTTTAATATTAGCAAATCGCTTTATCTATTGGCTTCACTTTATTGCACTTGGATCTTGTTCCTACACAAACTATCCCGCGTAGGCAGATCGAACTTGTTTTTTTTTTTAAAGTTATATTAATACAGGAACGCGCTTAATATCGCTACGATTTCGAACCGATATCGAATCAATTTGTAAACTCGTGAACCCAAAACCAATTAAAAGCTGAATATATAAACGAGTCGTACCCGTATTTCTAAGTCGATTTAGTTATAGAGAACGTGTAGCAAATATTCGAGCTAACTCTCGAACACAACCACAAAGGTCTTTTATGACATCATAATTCACTGTTAGCCTGCCCATATGTACCGTGTCAACTTAACAATTTTTCCGTTTCGCAGTAGTAACGCACTAGCTCGTAACGTTTGTAGTTTGTATACAAGCTGTCGTGGTCGACAATGTTCACGGCATGTTATATGCTAAGCAAACGCAAGGAAAACGTTTCATATCTCTTTATTTTTTTATACAGATTAAATGTCGATTACAAACAAATTACAATTACAAATCTGTACGTACCAACATTGCTGGCTTTTGATTTTGGACAATATATGGTTATTCGCATGTGATTTCTAAGAAAACTGTGAGCCTATTTTACGTCTGGAGATCGCGAAAAACCAACAAACGCTTGCGAAAGTGAACAAAAGATGAAGATGAAAAAATGCCTTTTGTTTTGCACTCCGCAAAAGTTTTGGTTGGTAGAGAGCATATCTTTGGCCCCAAAATTGAGAAGCTTTTTTTTTCTAATTAACCTCCAGCTGTACTCTTTTTAAGATCCCCACGCTTCATTCACAATTCGGAAAAAGGATGTAAGTTTGGAACGTCTAACGGTATCCTATATCATATGTTTTAGGTTCTCTTAGGTAACTCTTCCATCGCTAATTATCACAATATCATCGATACAAAATTTGGGCTTATAAATTTTACACAGTATCATTAGCCATGCCTTCATTAACATAACCTTTTGGTGAAGATTTAGGCGGCTCCATTTTTGGCAAAAATAAAATTTCGTAAATCTTCAAACGTAACAGGTACACGAAGTATGTACATAAATGCAGAAATAGTAGGAACGCCATCACACCTAAACACACCAGCGTCGTCGATCCTGGATTATCCCATTTCAAAATCGGGTAGATGTATGGTGTCCCGTCCCTATAAAACGTTAACATTAAATAAAAACGATTTTCTTAAGTCGTTTTCGACGCTTATACCTCGACAATCCTCCTGAGACAAAATAAATAATGGTAAAAATGGTGTACGCAAGACTCAGTAACAACGGGTACAAAAAATGCAGTATTCTGATTGGATGGGAAACAAGCCATAAATCGACGAACATCAAGATCGAGTTGGCCGCGTGTACCAAAAAATTCATTGCATCAAACCTCGCATGTTCGGCTAAAATATATTTTATATTTTAAAAGGGATTTTTCACGACCATTTATTTAATTGATAGGCCGTTGACCTTTTGCCAAAATTCGACACGATGACGGTGGTTAAAGGTAAGACGAACCACCATATAAATCAGAGGCGTACTAGTGTACTTTTTTCGACATACCGTTGTAAATGATCGCCCAGTACATAATGGTGACGGTAAATGCGACAGATGTCGCGATGCCATTTAGGACCCAGTAGAACGGGTAAAGTGTCAGTGCTTTTTCTCTCCAGTGCGATTTGCTTGGCAATCTTTCCGCTAGTACCGCTACGGAAAGCATCCCTGCAGCTACCAGGGCTTGTAGGGTGCATAAGGTAAATCCCCAGTTTGTTAGAAAAATCGGCCATTTTGCAGAACGAGGAAATTCGTCTCCTCCTATGAAGGTGAATACCCACGACACGAAAAAGAAGATCAAAATCGACAGCCTTATAATAAGGTACCGAAAATTCGGGGTAGTTTTGTCATGTTGCCACTGAAACAAAACGATTTTATAATTTGCCGCTAATAATTGCACGATTTTACTGCATTTCCTTCGTTTTACGGGGCTATTGACTTTTAAAATGCATTACTTTCGTAACAACCACGGTTAAACCAGTTGTGAGACATCCTGTATAGTTCAACTATTTAACCGAAACCGGACGTACAATTTCAAAATTAGGCAGATTATACGTCATTACGAGTAAACTGAAATTTGAAATTATTACCCACACTAATGCACGATTGTTTCATTTACTTTTAATTACTTAATAAATCCTGCGCATGTGAATAAAAGAGAATTTTTAATTAATTATTAATATGCTAATAATTATCAATAAGGTGCTGCTCCTTAAAATTCCAAGCATTCCCATAAAATGAAATCAATTTTTCGAAAGTAAAACAAATTGTCCAACACATCCATTACATCTAATTTTTAAAAAATAAAATATTTTAAAAGAAAAAAACATATTTTTATTTAACCGATATCAACAAAAAAGTTATTATTGTTATAATTGCTTCAAATTACTAGTCAGCGTTTTTAAATAAATAAGTAAATGACATTGTTAAATTTTTAAAAATTCTTTTCAATCGTAGCATAATAGTAACATCATCATTTTAATTTACATGATTTATTTATTTAAATAATTTATTAATTTTTAATTTCGACGGAGTTTCCAAATAAAATCGAATAATCCCATATCTATTTTCTTGTAAAATTAAATATACATTTTTTTCGATAAAGGTAGTAATGAAACACATCTACTAAATTTTATTTTAAAAAATTCTTATTAGAGAGTTAATTTCGTTAAAATGGGATATTTTTATTTATTCAATACCAATAAAAAAAGTAATCAAAAGGTTTGAAATATTCATAATTTTCACTGATTCAAATCACAAAACAATGTAAAAATTTAATTAAATCTTTGAAAAATCTTTTAAATCGTTGCTAAATAACCATTCGGTCAATTTCTTTTAAAAATGGTTTTTGTTTAACCACAATCAATAAATAATATTAACAATTTTCATGCAGTGCTGATTCAGATTACCTAAAATGAAGTCGACAACGTTGAAACAGAGAGAGACGAATTGCAAAAGTTACATTGTTTCAGCAAAAAATCGAAAAAAAAAACTATTTTCATCGAAAAATTTTCAAACCATAAATAACTAAATGTTTTTGATTATTATTTGCCCACCGTGTATTGAAAATGCGACAAATAAAAATACCAACGGTCGCTGTGGTTAATACAGCATATGGGATACAGGTGGACGAAAATTTCACATGCAAAAATTCGCGTCCATTGCCTGATTTATTAATACCGGCAATTTGGTACTGCATTTTATCATACATTTTTAAAATTCAAATTTACCACCCGTACCGGATAAACTGGAAAGAGTCAGGTTTATATAAAATACAGTACATGCATATTTATACGCCGCATAAAAGTTATTTAAAAACGGAAGTTATATAGGTACTCGTCGACTACGCCTTGTCTCTCCATATTATGAGATTTTTCTCGTGTCTTTATTAGTTTCGTAGTCCTAGTCGACCGTTTTTGCAAAGAACCTTATCTTTAATTAGTTTTGAGCTTTACTTTATCGATCAATTGCTTATAGTGGCTCTAAGTTACTGCCACAGTGACGTATTCACCGCAATTTGTCTGGGCAACGGAGGAACGGACATAACAAACAAATTAAAACATTAAAAAGCGATTTAAAGCGACTTACCTGAGATACTATGAAAGCAACCGGTCTGTCATGTTTGAGCGAGAATTGTGTGACAGAGAAATAACTCTTCCACGACGGACCTAGCATACTTTTTCGCGTCTAACTTCTATCATCGAATCTACGGAAAACAAGAAAAATTGTTAAGACAATGCAACGCGTTATCGATTAACAATAAAATTGTTTACGTTGCACCGCATTCCTCTATTACGTGTCGTTCACAATAACTAACAACATTTGCGATTACTAACTAGGGAACGAGTCGGTTTTTTCGAAAATCTCGATTGGTAATAAACACGTAACACACGTACGATTGGCCTCACCGACTATCATGGTGCACAGTTTGCGTCCCACATTTTCGCGAATACCTCTGTTGCAGACGGATTATGTAAGTAATGAATGCAACTTTCCAGTAATACGCACATCTAAATCGCAGTTCCGCACCACGAACGCAAGCCGCCACGTTAAATGCAGGAATAATACTAATAGAAAGTTTAAAGCTACCTGACTATTGCTTTTGCTAATGAGCGTCTCGTAATAGTCCTTGAAAATGAAAAGGAAAATTTAGGAAAATAAAATTGACGAGTCAACGCAAATACCCTAACATATCTTTTCCTTAACGCGTTGAAAATACCTTCCCGGCAAATGAAAAACGCCAAGAATTTTCCAGGGTGTGGCAAATATTTGATATTAACGACCGCACAGGGACCTGATTAGAAAAGTGTGTGTGCCATCAAAACTGCATTTGATAAAGACACGGTGTTGCCGAAACAGTTGTCATTTAAATATATTTATGTGAAAATCTGAACAACGTTTGTTCTTATTTAACTATTTTAAATGGTTTTTCATCGAGTAAAAGCCACTTCGGTACAAATATTTGGAAAAAATAATAAAATATACTGGTGCCCTTGTGCTTGAAACGTGTGGTCATTACTCGACACAAACAATTGGTTAATCTGCTTGGTTAGCTAGCTTCACATGAATTTTAATAACCCACAAGATATTTGCAAGGTCTATCGCCATAAAGCAAGTATAAAATCAATTGAAAAGTCATTATTATGCAAAACTGTGCATCACTATGCAAAAGCGGTGCTATTAGAGAGTTTTTTACCTTAACCTTCAATTCGATTCGATTCATGTCTATCAGATGCGTGTTTGAAACGAAACACTTACCGAGAAACTTTTAAATGTTTTCAAATGTTTTAGCCCTATCGATCATTCGTTACGTGGTTTAGAAATAAGGCCCAATATGACCCCGGATTAGCTGGAAGTTTTATTGAACAACTATTACGACCTCTTATGGTAGGTTCGCATGTCACACGACAAAATTAATAATTTATTTCGTGCTTTTGTCGATTTCCACGGTCAGTAGCGGCCTCGTTTGATTCCAAATGGTTTCTAAATAGAGTCGTCCGCTTGCCGACAACAAATAATCAAGACTAAATGAATTCTAATTAATGCGTATTTTTGAATTTTTTCTCATTATGAGCAGTTAAAACGTGAGTATGCTGGTGATTTCGTCACTTAGAATTTTGAAATAGTAGCTTTTTCTGGCGGACGAGATAATTTAATCAGATTCGCATTTTTTTTTGCGTTATATCCTAGTTTATAGACGATATATATTGTTGTTGATACTGGCCGAGCCGGTCCTGGATTATAATTTTGTTTAGCAGTTATCGACCGGTTTGTTTAATTGAAACCCGCAATCTTTAATAAATAATGCACGACTACGACAAAGACAAATGTCGTTGCGACGGATAAAGCTCTCTCGGTGGATAGATAGATAGCATGACTAAAACACCCTATACGAAGACATAAATCCTAATCAAACCATTATTGTTATCATTGCGTAATAGTTACGACATCGGGTGATTTAAACATTTTCTCTTTAATGGTTTGCAAATGGCAAATTTTTAAACGTCCAATTCGCCCGTATGGCAGGTTTACAGCGAACGGTTATGTCAATTCGATGCGTTGCTCGGTCAGACAGACGTATATGTTAATAAAACTAACAACAGCAAGAGCGTATATTCAAAGAATATTTCTTACAATGTAAATAATAACCGCGGCTTTGCGAGTTCAACAAACTGACTAGGTAATAAATGTCTTAATGCTCTTTGGTAAAAAAAATATAGCAAGTTGTGAAACAAAAAGTCCTTTTAAAATGCGTTTTTTGATGTCACTGACCCGCTCCCTATGGTCAGTGCGGAAATAACTTAATTCTTCCGAATAGAAATGAATTAAAGATGTTTTAATCTATTATAAAGGGCCGTGGGTGATTTTATTAATTTTTTTATTTTATAAATACTCTTACTGGTTTACATGAGCAGGGCCGACTGACTTTTGCTGTATGTCTTGCAAAATATCTTTGTCACAGTGGACGACAATAATAATATCATCCGTTCGTTTGTTGAATTCCGACTGGAATCCTGCAGACGTTTCGACAAGATCTCACTTGGCATCTTCAATGCTCGCGCTCCGAAAACACTTCGAGAGTTCGAAACCAAATTAATTAGTGTTGAAAAAGACATTTGTTTCTAAAAATTGTTTTAATCCAATTTCAATACACTTTTCAAGGGCTTTAACCACACTATGTACTAGTGCTAGTGGCTTTGGTCTCTCGAACCTGATTTATATAAAGAGATGATAACGGATTCCTTAAAATGTCCGGGAATACTCGCTTGCAGAGTACCAGGTTAACCAAATGTAAAATATTTACGTGTTTCCGTACTTTTCAGAAATTTTATTATTTGTATAAATTCTTTTTCTAGTATTGGCGACAAAAATATCCTCAAATTACTTTTTCCTGTTTAAAAATTACATTTCTGTTCTGTTGATAATCTTACGTACCTACTTAACGAGGTAATAAATTTGGTAGCACAATCTACAGGGTTGTCCTCCCGCAGCACACTCTCCCACCCCTCCAGTAATGTTGAAAATTTTGCTATATTAAATATTGTTATGAATTTATGTATATTACTGTAAGTTTTATGCAATGAAGTATGGGTGAGTGATAAGCAAGCAATAAGAATAAAGAATATTCGGGTACATAACTAAGTGGAGATCACCCTTTTGATATTGACAATTCCGAATTCAATTTTTAAAAAATGCCTAATAGATTTAAAAATAAAATAAAATAAGGAGAGTCAAAGATTATATTAATTAAATTTAAATGATGCTTAATCTAACAAACTAGATAGAAAAATGCGCCTTTTACACTGTACACTGTATATAGAAAATAATTGAAAACTTGCTTTTTTGGCATATCATTTATTTGGTTTTTTTAATTTTTAAAACACATATTTTTTCTTTTTTTTTTAGTTGCATATTGTATTGATTGTACTAAGAAAAATATTTGCAGATTTTTTTTTGTTTTAACTTTATACCTACTTTTATTACATCACTTAGGTAATTTGCTTTTATCGATTCTTTTTAATGTCGTTAGATACTAATTAAGGCGCTTAGTTAAATTTTTATGGGTTTTATGGGAAAAATATTGCCTTTATTTTGATTGGGTCAGTTTTAAGAACTTTTAAAAAAAATTTTTAGAAAATCAAAAGACAATGAACCATTTATTTAAGAGTTTGGAGTTTTGCTTCAAAATTGGGTTCTGTGTTCTTAACGAATAATTTTTGGGTACTACTGAGTTCTATGTATAAAACAATATTTTAATAAACTTTTTTTTTAAGGAAATAAAATCTGAAAATATAAATTAAATAAAATAAAAACAAGTCATTAAATTAAAATAATGGAGTCCTTGCAGGATAATATAACAAATAAAACTGTTTCGAAATCGATTGAAAAATAAGCATTTTACGGCAGTTCAATTGAAGATGGTCGCACAAAGAACGAATATTTTGCGATGCAACAGTACTTGATTTTCTTTGAAGGAAACAAAATCATACTGAACTTCTTGACGAAAAACAGTTGACAAAATATGAACTCTAAAATTTTTAGCAATTTTTAATGGACCGTAATTGGTCCTTTAATAAGTGTAATTTCGTAGTAAATGCTTCACTGATTGCACCGCCAAATGAATTTAATGACGATGATTCCCGTACGGGATCGGGTAGAAAAATGTGAAATTACAGCTTTGCGTAAACAATGCATTTTGTTGCCGCAACTGCTACTCCGAATGGCTAATTTCCATATAGCAGTATCTCTAATTAAATCTGAGGAATTTAAAAGCGCAAAGTTTCCTGTTCGGCCAAACGGGAATTTTCGAAATTGGTATGCTTCGCGACGTTTCACGCGAATTTGTTTATTAACACGTAAAATTAGATTATTCGTCATTCATATAGAGGTAAAAGCTCCTATATGCGTGTGTCTGAGTTCACCGCTAATAAACGTGAAATCTAAAGTCATTTAAAACCTTTTATGCGTTACTTGACATATTTGTGGTGCAATTGACTGAATGAAAACGGTCCCTTTTATATTTCTCGATTCTTTGTCATCGACTAATTTGGTGTTATTTTCATGACCCCAAAAGTGTAAGCAAACCCGCATATTTTTACCTGTCGGGACCAAAAAATATCACGTCTTTGTTCGGGTTTACAGTCACTGACACGTTAAATACATGTGGCACCTCTTTAGCGAAATACCTGCACCTTTTTTTTCGATTTATCGATAAATAAACAAAGCTTTGGTATAACGAAAAGTTTAAGAGTAACATAAACATCGGCCACATGGGCGTAACTAGCTTTATTGCTGGGGATCCTCACACCCTTTTGCCTTAATCAGAAACTAGAGGGTTTTTATAAACCTGAATTAAAATATTTTTATCTTTGTCAACAATCGCTCTATTATGAATACTTATTTTGTCTTTGAGAATTCTGGAAAAGTACATGGCTCATACACGTAGAAAACAATTTTTCGAAGTTGTCTTTTACTAGTGGCTGTTTGACGTTTTTGTATTTTTACTAGATCGGGGTATTTAACATAATTTTTGATTGCAGAAAAAAATTGTATTCGCTACGTGCTACTAATTTTTGGCTGATTTCTCCAAAATTTGAACATCTCAATAATTCTTCGTATTCGGATAAGAAATATTTGACTAAAACAACTGCAAACTTGCCTATAGATTTGATCGTGGCGCATAGTTTCAATTTTGTTTGAAATTGGAAAAGTGGCGTTTCCTTTATTAGTATACTTTACGCGGTATCATAATATTGTAAATGTGTTGTTGTTTGTTTACCCTATCTAATCAAATCGTAAATGGTGAATATTCTACACGCACTGTACAGGGTGGTCGTTTTAACTAAAGCAAAATGGGCTCAATTTATGAGAAATATTTATTGCTAAACATCCCATAGCGGTATTTTCAGAACCGATCTACATTTTGGTCGTTCTTCAATTTTCAACCAAATAATAACATTATAAGGACACTTTTTTGAGTTATTATACAATTTTCTTATTTTGTATGACAATTATTAGTTGCCTATGGTCCGAAAAAAATGCTCGTGTTGGACCCTTTACTGTCATGTGTGTTTGTTGGGATCTGTCATGAAAAGTATAAGATGAGATGTAACGCATTTTTTGTTTGTGTATAAGTAGAATCACATCACAGACATCACAGAGAGACTTTAAAGGTAATTAAACAAATCGTGTAAGTTTAAAAAACTAACCAAAACTACTTCATATTTTTATGTTAATATTGTTAATATCAATATTAATTAATATTTAATTAAGGTTTTTTAATTTAATAAACGAAATACAATATTTATTAGAATATAATGCAAAAATTTAATTAAATAAAATTAAAATGTTAAGATTAATTTTAGACATTATATTAGGTTATTTTGAAGTAAATATTCTTGTGTTTGCATATTATACTTTTCGTAATTTTGACACATTTTAAATTGTTAAATACATTTTAAGGTTAAGTTAAGCTACTAAAATATGTGTGACAAAACACAAAATCCAAAAAAAATAAATGTAAAGGATTTAATTGATATACAATTTTTGCACGTCGCACTTGCATATATTTAACCAAAAACTAATATTTTCAAATATTTCTCAAAAATCGGACCCCACGACATTTAAGTCGATTTAGTTCTGAAATAAGGGTTTCCTGTTAAACCACCCCAATTACGACTATCTCATACATACCCATAATTGACAACAAGAACAATATTAATCACCCTGTGTCGAAGGTCCGTTCGGTGTAATTAAAATCTCGTTGCTTTTAAAGCCGTTAAGGATGTTCCTGTTCAGCGCAACAAAGTATTATAAAGACCTTAAGTAAAAAACATTTTGGCAATTAAAAATTGTTGAACCGTAATTCCGGGCGTTCTTTTTCGATCTCGACCAGCAGCATCACCGCCCGGGTCCCAAAAAGAAGAAAAACCGCCGCGAAAACGAAGCATGCAACACAATTTCTTTTTTTTCGTCTTTTTCGTACAGGTTTACAAGAAGCGGTTGTACCGCATTAATCAAGATGCTTCCAGGTAAAAATAAACTTACGAATTCTTTATTCTTTACCCGACAGTTTCGGAACTCTCTGATCAAAACGGACTTGCGGGTTATTTGTTCTTCTTCTGCTGTTTTCTTCTTCTTCGTTACCAAAAGTTGATATTCGGCATGTTAAAAAAGAAGTAGTTCTTCGGTGGCGGTTGTTGTCCGGCGCTATATACAGGGCAATTTCACACGAATATTTCTGAGCACTTTAAAATTACATTTGCATATGTTATTTCGTTTACTAGTGTACCGTCGACCAGCAGTGCGGAGTCATGGAGAAGGTGTGAACGTCGGTTTCGTACACTCGTGATAGAGACACGCTACCGCACTAACCAGCGTTGAATAAATCCACATCCAAATGCACACCAATCTATACGATCGCCGTAATAGGGCTCATTTCTGACTGTACTACGATAGGGTTAGTTTTTAATTGGTCATTCGTTATTCATATTAATGGACAATTTATTGCTGTCTCGCTACGTTCAGTCAAGGCTGGCCTTTATTGATCTCATCGATCTCCTTTTTTTTACTGACCGAACGATTGATTAACGTTAAATTTGTCCTATTCCCGCTTAGCAACGGTTCAAACATTATCTGTCTCTTTTCCTCCGCTCTGGGAAAGTTCTGTTTACTATTAACCAATTTCAATTGAAAACGCTATTAATTTTTGTAATTTATTTATGTTTAAAAAACAATTTTTTATTAGTTGTTATAAGAAAAATGTTTATGGAGTCCCATTTTTATTTTGTATTTTTTTTTATTTGTTTTCAGGTTATACGCAAATTTATTATGGCAACTTTCCTCTTTAATGCGTCTTGTTGAATTTTTATTAGAATAATATTGGCGCTATTTTGATTTGATTGGGTTTAAGAACTTTATTCTTCTTGTACACGAATTTACTGACGATATTGAAGAAGATTTACGCTCATATTTCTTATTTGATTCACTCCAAAGTTTATTTTTTATTTTGCTACCTTAAATACGTGGATTTAAGAAAATTATTGCTTAATTTTTAATGACACGATAGCTTTCTAGAACAGTTTATTAATATCACATGACGATGAAATTTAATTGGCAAAATATTAGCCGAAATGAAAAATTTCACGCAGACGTTTAGTGCGAAATGACGTGGGCAGGACAGTAACACGATGTCCATCCACAATACGGTTTGGAATTTAGCATTTAAGCAGTGTCAATTAAGTGGGCCTTTGGCATCGGTGCCCACGATCGAAATTTGAAGTCGCTGCCGCCATATCGGTAGTCGATCAAAAGATTGGGATCATTATGTCGATTACGGTGCTCTATATAATTACATGTCGGAATGAATAACCCAAAAATGAGAAAATCACAAAGCTCGGGTGTATTTTACGGACTACGCAAAAATGTTTTACTTACAAAATACAATTAAAAAGCAATTCCGCTTCAAGCCATTCCCGTACATTTGCTGTCACCACTCGTTAATACGTTTTTAAACTAATTTTTATTAGAATATTTCACTAAGTTTTTTGTTATCATTTTTTAGGTGCGCATAGTTATTTCGAGTTGATTCGAGTAAACCTCCTACTCGTACCTCTACGTATTTTTTCATTAAGTATGGAAATTATTTTTATTCCAGGCAATGATTGCTGATCAATCCGAGATGTATCTGCTATATTCAAAGTCTACATGTGCATTTAAACATAAAACATGTAAAAATATGAGGGTCGATAAAAAAAAGTTAATGGTATAATTTGCGCTATAAACATTTTCTGGATTATTGTTATATTGACAGTCATTTACATTAATTGTGTAATGGCGTTATAAATGTATTTCTTACGTTGTTCCGTAAAAGTGTGCTAAATAATTTATTGCCATTTTATGTGACAGATTTAATCAAATCTTGTGTAGATATCTGTTCGTAGTTCTTCTGCTTCTTTTAAGTAGTCGACAAAGAAGTCCCTAATTCGGCGTTCAAACAAAAACGGCGGATGTTATAAAACAAAATTAAGAAACTCGTTGTGCACTAAGTAAAACATTTTAACAACCGTTATGTCAATATTTGTTTACATCGCGTTAGCTGCCATACAAATAATTTTATTTGTCAACAGGTACTTTGTAAGTACTTTCAGAACATGTTATACAAGAAGATGCCTTCCAAAGTTTAGGCCAATGTACCTACATTAAAATATTTAATTTGAAACTAGCAAGTAAAATACAAGTTACAGCGGGGTCCATTTGTCTTTTTTTTTATCAAAGCTTTCCAATGTTGTAGTGGATATTTCAAATTTTATTACAAAAAGGAATCATCATCTTTTCAGATATATTTTTCCACTCAACCAAAATAGATAAAAAAATAAAACAATTTAAAAGCGGACAGAGCCATCTATCCCACTGGACTGCAGCTAATAAATGTGATGGGGGATTTTAGGTGAAGGTGGTGGCAATTAAGTTGACACTGTTGACAGTCATTTGTTTAGTCGCCATTTTGTATTTATTAATAATCGTTCTATACTAAAAATAAAGCCGCCAAATTTAGAAAGGCAATGTTACGAATGGAATGTGCTTTGATCGTAATATGGTGTGTGATAAAATGTGTGAAAGAGTTTCCGTGAGTCTTGTGTGGTAAAACTCGTCATTGGTATGCTGTTTGCTTCTAAGGTATTAAACAATGCTCATAAACAAATACCCTGTCATTAGTGCTAATAATGATAATCGATTGGTAAATAGAATTTGTTTTTTAAGATCTCGGGCTGTAAAACTGATTAAATTCGCGGTGTTAATTACAATGTGATGCGAACGTAACTTAATTTATATGGTTGTCAAACCATGGACGCTCAAGTCGCATCCAGAGAGAGGTCTTTCTTTTTACATAAATTGGGTTCTCCATCGAGTTCTTCAGAAATTAATCTTCAGGATTCCCTGAATGTATCAGACGTAGAAGGAAAACTTAAGAATAAATTCCTTTCAGTTTGGAATAATGTCAAATATGGTGAGTTTAAGCTGCTTTTTTGAAATTTTATTTCTAAGTGGTCGTCATCTTTATAGGCATGAAACTTAAAACAAATTTCTCGAAAGAATCCCCAGTATGGTTACTTGGAGTTTGCTATCGTAAGATCGAAAGTCCTTCTTCTGACATAACAGAATTAGGTACTGACATAGCTGCTTTTCAAAGCCAGAGTGATGTGAGTTTCTTTAAAATCCGCTTTAGAATATTTGGCATCATATGTAAACTATTTCAGATCACTAATGGTGATGATGAAGGTCTGGAAGGTTTTAAGAAGGACTTTATTAGTAAAGTCTGGCTTACTTATAGAAGAGAATTTCCTATTTTAAATGGGTCCAATTACAGTAGTGATTGTGGCTGGGGATGTATGATACGAAGTGGGCAGATGCTCATTGCCCAAGCCTTAGTCGTTCATTTCTTAAGTAGAGGTGAGTTCTTAGCTGTTTCGATCTAGTAGGCAGGTGCCAGTGGCAGGTGAAAAAAACTTGTTAAACAACATTCTGTGGGTAAGTGTTAATTTATGTATTTATTGGGGTTACATTTTACAATATTACTTATTATTTTATTATTTTAGATTGGAGGTGGATTCCAGACCACAGAGAAATATCTATTTATCACAGGAAAATCATCAAATGGTTTGGAGACAAACCTTGTAGGAACAGTCCTTTGTCCTTACATAGCTTGGTAAAGATTGGAGAAAGTTTGGGAAAGAAACCTGGTGACTGGTATGGGCCAGGATTGGTGGCACATCTCTTCCGGCAAGCTTTTAAAAATGCTTCTAATGATAATTATGAGTTTGATTCACTAAGTGTGTGCGTTGCCCAAAATTGCACAGGTATTCTTAAAAGTGTAATTTACCCATAGATGTTTACACAAATGTTATTTCTAGTGTACATAAAAGATATTTTGGAAGAATGCATTGATAAATCTAACAAATGGAAATCTTTGATTTTGTTAATACCAGTTCGTTTGGGAGCTGATAAGTTTAACTCAGTTTATGCCCCATGTTTGACTACTTTGTTCAGTATTAAGCAATGCATTGGAATTATAGGTGGCCGACCGAAGCATTCTTTATATTTTATAGGTTACCAAGGTAAAATTTGGAGTGTTTTGAAATCTGATTGCACTTAGCCAATGTTTTAAAAAAATTACAGATGACAAATTAATTCACTTGGACCCCCACTACTGCCAAGAAGTTGTTGACGTTTGGGCCCCTGATTTTCCATTGACAACCTTTCACTGTAGATCTCCTAGAAAATTACACATAAGTAAGATTGATCCTTCATGCTGTATTGGTTTCTATTGTGCCACCAAAGAGGATTTTTTCAATTTGGTAGAAACCGTACATCCCGTAAGTCACTTTTTTATCTATAATATTTTTATAGTTAATGGTTTCGTTGGTTTTGATTGTTTTTTGTTTTTCATTGTCATTATAGGTTATTGTTCCACCAACTGGAGCTGGTAATTATCCTATCTTTACGTTCTGTGATGGTTATAGTTGTGATGCTGAGATAACTGTAATTGAATACCCACCCTCCGAATTAGAATATTCTACAAATACTAGCGATATAGATGAATTTGAATCTGAGCCTTTTGAAATGATATAGTTTTAGTTATTTATTTGCGGATTTACTTTACAGTACTTATACAACTGTTCAATTGGACTAGAAAAACTTTGTATTAAAAAAATTATACATTGACACTTTTTTAAAAAAAATGTATATCTTTGTTTTTTATTTATTATTGGATACATAAATAAACGCAACCATACAAAAACTATTTGTGCTGATTTGTTATCTGTATAGGTATATAAGTGACCAGGCATTCCAAAACTTTAGGCCATATTTCATTAGAAGTATTCCCAACAAATTCTTTTAGTATCCCTTTGTCCTGATAGAATTCAATCACTGGTCGAGTTTGCTTCTCGTACGCTTCCAGTCTTTTTAAAACCACTTCTGGTTTGTCATCTTCTCTTTGTACCAATGGTTCCCCGGTTATATCATCCTTGCCCTAAAAGTGCGTTTTTTTTTTTTGAGATTTTCAGTGCCGAAATGGACGTTTATTTAAAATTTATCCACTATTAATCCTTTCTGCGTTGTCTTTATGTAACTTGTTTTATGAAATAAAAATTTGAACTGGTAACTTGTACATAGTTTTTTCACTGTTGCAGTACAGAAGTGATAAATTTGTTAAAAGTTTATCGGTATTATGGTAATTCTGTAAGCATTTTTGCTTAATTTGTTTTATCCTTGTCGTAAAAATGTATCTAGTTGGTTTATGAAAAAAGTACGCGAAAATATAACATTTGTTATTTTTTCGCTACCTTATTTTCAAGAAAACCTGCAGAAAGTTGATAAATCTCTTGTTGATCACAGTTTTCTGTAATCATTTTTTCATAATTTTATGCATTCGCGTGGAGTGATAACATTTACTTATCCTTTTGCCATCTCATTTTTTAAGTCGCCGTTTGGGGAAATTTTATATTTTTTTAAGAAATTATCGATTGCCACAGCTTTTCTATGAGCATTCTTGCATAATTTTATGCAACCGCGTTACTCACATTAATTTGGTCAATGAAATAAATAGGTGGAATTGTTACATTGTTATGATTTTGCCGCCCGCAACATTTTTCGGGAATTTTTGATAACATAATTAAGTCTAAGAGAAGGCACGGATCGTAGGTACACTTCTGGATTTCTCGAGTCTAGTATTGACCCTGTCTTGGCGACGTTTTGGCAAATATGCTGCTGGCTTCTTCAAAGCACTGCCTGAAACCGTGCAGTAGCACTGATAGCTATAGTAGTTTCAGCCAGTGTTCTGAAGAAGTCAGCAAAATGTTTGCTGGAACCCAGCAAAACAGATTCGATCCCCCAGGGAGGAGAAATCCAGAAGAAGTCTACTTACAAGTTATACAGTCTGCTTAATTTTCAAAAAGGAAAAAAATAAGGCAAGAATTGTTTAAAATGTTGGTAAACTTGACAATTATATAAATATTTACCGGAACTTTGGGTTCATTAAAACCCACGTTATAAACTCTGCCACTTCCTAAATGAACCCATCTCCCTTTGACTCTATCTATAATGACGGGAAACGGAACCACCAAATTTAATGCCACGTCCAATTTGTGAATTTTCCAAAGAGCTTCCGCCTGATTTAGTGTCCGCGGAAAACCTTAAAAAATAGTGCATACAATGGGCGGTTTTTGGTCTAATTGAAAATGATTATCCAACGTTGGGTAGTAACTGTTTCCGCTTGTCGCTAGAAAAGTGTTCCCAATTTTCAGCCATCTGAAATCTGGTATGAATGGTGTGTAATTGTTTTAATGTTTTAACAGGAGAAATCTATTTCTAAAATAAATACAGTAAAAATGCCGAGGGCGTCTTCAATTTTTGTTTAGAAAAGAGCATATAACTTTTTTATTTACGAAAATGTCTGCTTCAGATAAATACAATAGGGCACTATTTTTAGTCAAATATATAGTTTGCCGTTATCGCAGAAATGAATAAAACTTTTATTTTATATTGGAATCCTAGTCGCCTGTATTATAAAAATGCGGGGATAGAGCCATTGGCCACCATGTATGGTAGTTCGTATTGAAAAATGACGTACATATAGAGCGGTTTTTTACCATTCAACATTTCTCAAAAATGGAGCCCATAAGTTTTTCCTGTTAAGACTCCATCTATGACTACCGTTTATTAAAACTAAATCGTGGTGTTAACAGTAGTTGGATGTTTTCCATTTTAAAATATTTTCAGCAGACTTTCCGGTTTAAAGTGAATTGATGTTAATTTGAAAATATATATAGCTTGCCGTCCCGGCGCATCCGCCACATATATAAAACTATTTTGAAATGCAGTCAGTAATTTGTTGCACAAAGCTTAGTTCTTATTAAAATTTGCTTTCGACACTTACCATCTAATAACCATACGGGCTTTACATTGTTTAGTTCTTCAGATATAAATTTTATCATGACTTCATCAGGTACTAGTTTTCCCTCTCGTATGAATTTTTGTGCCTCATTTCCAATCGCTGAAAAAAATTAATACTTCAATAAATATCCCGATACCAACCAAAACTTACAAGTCTTGTTTTGGATGTGTTGTCTCAGTTTATCCCCACTCGAAACATGTTCTAAATTAAAATTTTTCACGATTCTTTCGGAAATCGTTCCTTTTCCAGACGCTGGAGCACCCAATATCACAGTTTTAAAAAATTTTGTTGCCATTTGACTACCTCAAGAGTCCAACAGTCAATGTGTCGTGTATTTTACAACTAACAAGAAGATTGACCTTTGGACTTATTCTATCAAGTACACGTAAATGTAAAGTTGTAGATAAAAGTTTTATTTAATTAATCAATTAATATCAGCAATTTACTAACTAACTAAAACTCGATATGCTGAAGAATTTTTATTTTATTTTTTGCAAGTTGTCTTAATATAACAGCATATAACAAAACGTTTCACTGGGCTCTACAACCTTAACCTATCATATGCAAGGCGCATGCGTTTATGTTAAAAACACATGGTTTTTTGAAAATTCAAGTTTTGTGACTTGCTTATTTTTATTCGCGCTTCTGGTAAACAAATTCGTTTTGTTATTGAAGATAAGGACTAACTTTATACATAGTACAGTTGTTCGATTGAAACGATGTCCCACTTCTCTAATTTATGCCGAATTTTATTATCAAATTCAAAAAATAATCTGGTAAGTGAAAAATATTTTGTAATTTTTTTAGCTAACGTCTATTAATTTTTTTTTTAAGCAATCTTATGAAAAACATTGTCAAGTTAGGAGTTTATTTACCACTTTTATTGCGGAGAAAAACGTGGCTTTTAATTTATCAGATATAGGGGAGGGAATTAGAGAAGTGGTGATTAAAGAATGGTTTGTTAAAGTTGGAGATAAGGTTTCTCAATTCGATAATATTTGTGAAGTTCAGAGTGATAAAGCCTCTGTCACAATAACTAGCAGATATGATGGAATTATTACAAAATTGCATTACAATATCGACGATACGGCGCTTGTTGGAAAACCACTTGTTGATCTAGATGTAGATGGTCAAGGTAATCCAATATTTGACACGCTTAACACTCACTTTTATATTGAAAATTACAGATGACTCTAAATCTGCAGAAATGAAAGAAAAATTTACCCCAGACGTTGATATCCAACCTACATCAATTTCAACATCTTATATTAAAGAGGACAAAAAAATCGATCCACAAGAGGGAAAGGAAATATTATGCATACCGTCGGTAAGGCGGTTAGCTAAAGAGCATAAAATAAATTTGTCTCGAATAATGGGTAGTGGAAAAAACGGTAGAATACTGAAAGAAGATATTATTAAGTATCTTGAAACAGATGGCGATTCTATCACTCAAAAAAGACCAGTCAATTCTGATTCTAAAATTGAACCAATCAGCGGTTTTAGGAAAGCTATGCTTAAAACTATGACAGAGGCTTTGGTACGTTGTTTCGCATTTTAGATGATAGTTATTGACTATTACTTGACTTCTAGAAAATTCCCCATTTTGTATATAGTGATGAAATTACAGTGACCAAATTGTCAGACTTACGAAAAGAACTTCAAAGTATTGAAGAGCTCAGGGAAACTAAAATTACATTTATGCCGTTTTTTATAAAGGCTTTGTCTAATGCACTTCTACGTTACCCCCTAATCAATTCATCCCTGGATGAAAAATGTGAAAATGTCATATACCATAAACATCATAACGTTGGGGTAGCGATGGACACGACTGCAGGACTTGCAGTGCCCGTTATTAAGCATGTTGAAAGTTTATCAGTTACCGAAATTGCTGTTAAACTGAAGCAGCTCAGCGTGTCAGGGAAGAAAGGAGTGTTTGCTCCTGACGATTTAACTGGTGGAACGATTTCTATCTCCAATATTGGAATTGTAAGTGTTAATTGAATTTTGCGTGTTGGTGATGACCGTTTTTTAGGTAGGAGGGACCTACACCAAACCTGTTATATTACCTCCACAAGTAGCTATTTTAGCCATAGGAAGGTCTAAGGTATTAAGCATTACTTTTTAGTGATTCATTCGTAAGCATTCGTTGATTTCTTGATTGCGATAAAATTAAATCTATCTTACCCGGTATTCTTAGCCTACCCTACCGTACATTTTTTGCTTGCTTGGTGGAAACGAAAATTTTAAAAATCGGTTATTTATCACTTTTAACTGCTCTTAATTTTGGAGCAATAAAGAAGCTCGTAAAATTAAATTAAAAAAAAAGCAACTTATACTAATAAACCCTACAAAAGTTATACAAAACTCAAGAAGCTTGTGGAGAGAACTACGTATCAAATCCTAACGATTACAAGATATGGTTTGATTGAAAATTTTAATAAAAATAGGGAAATTACGTATAAAAATGGAGCTGGACTTTATGTGTATAAAGAATTTCGTGCCTACAGAATGGACGTTTGTCATTTTACACAAGAAATCATCGAAATCTTGTGAAACTGACTAGTTAGAATTCTTTTATTATAAAATATTTTTATTAGTGTAAACGTAAGGTTAAAATCTATTTTTTAGACCCTTCCCAGATTCGATCAAACTGGCAGCGTTATAGCAGAACAGATATTAAACGTTAGTGCGTCAGCTGACCATAGAATTGTGGATGGGGCCACTATGGCGAATTTCATCAGGACAGTAAAAAGGCAAATTGAAAATCCATATTTACTGTTGCTAAATTTATGAATAAATAAAGCTCCGAGATTTTAAAAATAAATATTTTATTTTCAATACAATATATAAAACAGTTAATAAAACAAACACCTTTTGTTTTTAAAAAATCCACGCCTACAGAAACTGCGGAAGACCTTGGTTAGTACATTTGGAATAAGTTACCTACTTGTTGTACATGAAATTAGTATAAACAATGTAACAAGGTACAAAACATATAAATAATAATTGAAGTTAGTCTTAAGTGTATATAATTATACAAAGTCAAATATGTGAATGTTTCAACATTTAATCACAGTTAATTTATGTTCATATATTAAAACGCAACGTTCTTTATTTTAATAGGCACAATTAGCAGAGAGTCATGGCAGTAAGCTGTAAGATTAACCCCTGAAAATAAAGAACGTTTTAATGTCGTCCCTCGCACTGGCCTAAACTCACAAGTACTGCTTTTGTGGTATTTTGTAAGTCACATATGGATTTTGCAGAATTCTTGGAGTTGTTTCCATCACCCTTAACAGCAAATCATCTAAGTAATCTTCCAAGTCTTTCAACTTCTTCTTGGTTTTTTCCAGCTCGCTTTGAGTATCAACTAAAGATAATATCAAATCCTATACAAAAAAAAAACTATATATAACTTATGTTCCGGAATGGCAAATAAACACTCGCCTCTCTAGTTTTCCCTTCAAACTTTTGATGTAATTCATTTGGAATATGAATTGATTTTTCGGTTACACTTTCTCCTCCTATAATAACACGTTCATTTGAATTGCCCATTATTTTATCAATTTTCACATCCACTAATTCGCTTCTATCTTTATCTAAAATCAAGCAAGCCATGCATTAACTAATTACAAAGCTTAGCCCCGACTCGTAACAATTATTCGAACGATCAAGTAATGGCGTTTTTGACAATGTGCTTTCGCGCGTTTTAATGGCATCATCCGCGCAAACCAGGTCAGGTCATGATATAATTTGTAATTGACACTTATCTTACCTGAAATCGTGAGTGAGACAGTTATTTGTTTTAGTTAGGTAACTAGAATCATAATTTATAATTTTTTTCTGTTATTTTTTATCTTCGTCTATTATTTTTTACGCGTTTCCTTATGTTTTACATTGGAGAAGCAATTGTATGATTTTTTATTTCATTTTGATATGGAGAAATTAAAAATAGTAACCCACGTGCTATAAGACGACACCCACCCTGCCTGCCCCCGACCCCTACGTTTGTTGTTGGTGTAAGTGTGGCTAAAGCATTTTCATGTTTACCTTTCCTAAAGTTTTTGAGTTTAGCCAGCATACCATCTTTCTCTTTTTCTTCTTTTTTGCTGGGTTCTGGCATTTTGTTGGCCTGTATAGTTGCTTTAATGGGCTGTGTGGGTGGCTCTTTAATTGTCAGACCTTCTAGGGATTCGTTGGACTCCTCAACAATCTGTGAAGCTAATTTGGACGAATCCCAAGATCTTCTGTTAAGTGATTCGCTGCTCCCGGGTTTTAAAGCATCTAAAATTTTAGGCGTTCAAATGTTGATATTACCATTTTTTTCGTCTTATACTTTTTGATTTAGAGTTGCCAAACAGTTTGGATTCCCATTCATCCTGAACTTTCAACTCTGATCTAGGTGGTTTTGCGGGTGGCAATGTCTGACTTTTTATATTTGTAAGCGGGGATGATGTTTCTTGAGAAAATGAAGGTTTGATTGGTGCAGGTGATGATGTTTGATTGGTTGATATGCTTATGGAGCTTGTTGAACTCTTGTGTGATAAGTCGTCAAACTACAATCACTGTTAGGGAGCACCTATTATTTGTTTTTTAGTTACTTACCGTAAATTCATCTTCATCACTAACAACTCCGGGATCGGCGTCTTCTAAAGTTTGTTTGCTTTTAAAACGTCGATTTAAAGGGTGGCTTCTAATATTCAAACTACCGACACTCCCAATAGAGGAAGCCCCATCATCTGACTCATCTTTTTTTTTGCCTTTTAGGTGCATTTTAGACCCTATAGACTTAGCAAATTTTTTAATGCCTTTCCGCTTTTCTGCGCTACCAAGACTGAGTAAACTACCACCCACTGATTGAGCGACATGAGATAATCCTCCTAGTGATGATTTATGTTTTTCCTTTTTGCTTAAATTGGTTAAACTACCGGATTTAACATTAAAACTAATTTTGACCTCGAGCTGGCCCCTGTCTTTAGTTTTCCCGCCTAAAATTTAAAGAATTAATGTTAATACACCACAAGTTGAAAGTGGGTAGGTACCTGGTTTGCTTTGAAGAGGATACATCCGATTTTTAGGTCTTTCATATATATCCAAAGTATTCAAGGGGATAACTGCACGGCCTAAAAATTCATCAACCCCTAAAAAATTGTGATGTAAAACGGTAAGGAGTATCTCTGCAGTGTTTCCTTGTTCAGGGATCGGTCTAGAATTAACAATACATTCATGATGGCATAAAAATTATTTTTAAGTCTACTTGCAATTCACATTCTTCATGCCATTCTACGGATTGTCCAGATTTTTCTTTTATTGAAGTTTGATATTTCATTTTCCCCAAACCAATTGTCACGAAGCAATCATTTGTGTTGTTTTTACCCTTGGTTAATAATCCACTAGCTCTTTGTACTGACCAAGAAAAATACAATTATTAAAAAAAAATAATTTCGATTTTGTAAATAACTTACCTGTTACTGTTACATGAGTTGGGACCCACATTGTACCAGATGGATGGATTTTTGGTTAGGTCGCGGAAGAATTTAATAATTGGATAAAATACGTGTAAAATTTCACCTAATTCAGTCAGTCATTCACCGTTATGAGTCAACGTGAGAGAAATTTAGTTCTACAATATATTTTTTGCAATTTGTCATCCCAGTGGTGGCTGGGTGTTTTGCATGACAGAAATTCTTTATTAATTTTTCACACTAATTACTTAATTAACGGTGCATTTCTGCCACATTTAAAGTCTAACGTTTCTAATTTTGCACCAATATTGTAGATCTAGTAGCTACGTGAGTACTTATCTTGCACTAGGTGGTATTACCTATAAACAAAACTCATTTCGTGAATAGAAAAGGTCAAAGTATATACTGACGACCTTGAGGTTTACGGTATTGTTAATTGTTATCAATTTAGGGTGACGTCAAATTTGCCGTGGGAATATAAATACTATGCAGCTGTTCCTACATCTAACCGCTTGGGTTAGCCTTTTCCGCACAAGAGGTCGCGGTTTTATGTATTACAATAATAGGTAGGAACGCGCCTTTACCAGAACCCTAACATCTTGTTTCTCTAATAGATGACGCTCGAATATGCGCTTTGGGAAAGGTGACTTGCCGATAGCGCTTCAGTATTTATTCGGAAAACCTTTTCTATCTGTAGTAATTGACGTATCTTCCAACACGTGTGTATATTCGCTTATTTCGAGTCCGATTGGGTGTTAATATATCGAGTCGTTGCCCTAAGGGTGTCGCAATGTGGGAAACAATAAAATTCAGCAGTAGATTTCAACTGAATATTTTATTTAGGTATAAATAAAGATAATATAGATGTTCTTTTTCTACATTTCAAATTAAAATAAATAACATAACAAAAATTAATGAGCAAAAATAGATAATTTAAATAACATATCACTTTGCACTTTTACCATAAGAACTCAATCACTCCAAGCCATGCATTCCTCTACAGCCGCTTTATCTTGTATAGTTGTGGTAAATATTACCCTATAAAAACAATAGATCTGTATTTTTTAAACTGGCCCCCCAATATCATGTTGGTAACGCCAAGTCAGGTACTGAGCCGCCTCTGTCATCTGCCTGAGTGAGCTGGTTAGACCATCCAAATGTCTCTGGAAGTCTTGAGCAACCCGCTCTGTACAGCATTCATCCTCAATACCCGAATCATTTTCATTACTGCTTCCCACTTCTGACTCACTGTCGCTTATTGTCGAAGTGGAACTTGCAGTGGAAGCTACGCTAACCGTTGATGGTCTTCGCACGTGTCCTTTTACCACGATTGGTAATGATGTTGCTGAAAAACAAGACGATTACATCTACAGCAAATTCGGAATGAGAATGCTCTACCAGCAGGAGCTTCTTCTCGCTCTTGTGATTTCTGTCTGCCCCAGAGCAAGCCACCTTTGACGTCCTTCAACATGCTGTAGATTTGATACAGATCAGTTGAGCTGAATACTTGTTGTACAGAGTGTTTGTCCTTAACTTTGAGATTGTTGTGATTACATGACGGATCTTGACCGTCACCTACTTTCAGATCCATTAAACGACAAGGCACTAGTATTGTATCGTCCATTGAGTTGACCGTCTTGACAAACTTTTCTATGACATTGAGGATACTTTGCGGAGAACATTCCGTATCGTCATTTCTAGCAATACGGCGCAGGCTGTTTCTGAAATTAAATTCAAACGATGACTTTTAGGAATTGTTTATGCAAATTAAGCACAAGCGCGTAAGTTTTTTGATTAGGATCCGCGCTTAAATTGACCAGCAACAAATAATTAATGTTGCTTCATCATTGAGGTCGTTTCAAAAGTTTTTGTTTACATCGTACGCAAAGGTATTAATTAACAATTACAAACGTAATTCTAGAAAAAAAGTGACATTGATTTTTTTTTCATAAAAGTAACAGTTTATTTGCGCTGGTTAATACTTTCTCTGCGCACAATTTAAATTAAACCAGTTATTGAAATTAAAATGCAATTTATTTAGATTTATTATAAAAATAAGTTACGCCCCCTCCGTAATATTTGTTTTTATAACGACATTATTATAATTACTTGTATATCTCTCAATCTCGTTGAACAGGCTTATTTATAGAATGGCTCAATATTTTACTCCCACTCCTAATTGTAGGAAGTTTGACTATATATTTATCGTACGATTTATTTTTTTATAATTTTCTCAAAAGATTAATCGAATTATCTTGTTTTTAAAAATAAATAAGTTGAAATTTTTTACAGACGAAAAATTACAAAATTAAATAAACTTATTCTTTTCCTAACATTGAATTAATGATCTATTAAATTCTATTATCCATAAAAAAAACATCTACGTATTTAGTAAATACTGTTCATATAACTTTTAGAAAAAGTTTTTCGCGAACATTGGACGCGACTGACACGTAAATCGTTTTCGCAAATTATACGTGAAATTAATGGGAAAAACTACATATTTCGTGAATACTTAATAGTGGGTCATTAAGCTTCAACAATTCGATAAAATGGAAAAGTTATTGTTGGAAATAATATGTAATTTTCAAGGCTGACGAATTTTAAATTAAATTTGCGCACAATTTCACCTAGAAAATATCTTATATTTACACATCTGCGATTGGCATGGGACCGTACAAGTGATTTTAAAAGTAATTTAATTATTGTAAATTTATGAATGGGCAAAATTTGAAAACATATTTTTTCGAATTTGTGTCAAGCTGCTGTAAAAACAATGCAAACCTATGGGTGTACTTGAATATTCACCAAAGTCAATTATTGTTAACCGTCCTTAACTCAATTTTAAGTGTTTTTTTTTAACATACACATTGGGAGATTTTTTTCGTGTAAATTTGAGAAACGAATACACTCTCGGCTAATGACATACTTTCCCGGAACCATGAATCAGCGAATCTACAAGCCGCTAGTGGTGATCGTTTGTTTATATTTTTCGCATTCCAATGCGCGTAATTTTAAACAAATATTTTTTGCAAGAAGTATTTTTCCTACCCCTTTATTGCATTAGTACTGCATTGATATTTCCAAAACCAATTGACAAAAGTTTAAAGGTTGTAATTAGATAACAAGTCCAAAGGTCTTTATTAGTAGCGTCTGGGTCATCAGCCCTTCTATTATACAAATAAGATCCTCCTTATGCACCAAAATCAGTCAATACATTTGAACTACCCCCAAAAACACTGGATATTCAATAATTACTGTAAAAATAAGGTTCAGAGTTTAATAAAATGTGTTTCGTGATAAATATTGAAATTTAAAAGAGAAAAGTGGATGTAAAGTTGGATGCCAAGTGTTGCAAACCTCCTTAAAGAGATTGGGTTAAATAATTATGAAATTTGAACTTGACATAGGTGTGTGCTACATAATTATCCTCTTCAAGGTATATTTGGACTTTGTTTATATACATGTGACACACTTAGAATTGCATAACAAATTAAAGCATTACCTACAAAAAGGTAAATGTTAGCTTTCACCTTAAATTGTTATTAAATATCCATTGCCCAAATATTTAGAAAGGTTTGTAAGAACACAAGTAAAGTGCATACCTGCTATTTTCCAAATTTGCTGTTATTTTGTCGTGGTAGGTGTTCATTTTAAAAAAAAGTTGATTAAACAATTTGTTTAGGTTATGTACTATTCAAATAAACGGCAGTGGGTCGAACTCAGAACTCGTGAAGCCGAACAACAACTATTCGAATCGAAGGTTTCGGAATGAATTAACGATTTGATCGTATATTTTCGTGTTGCACTTGAAACGAATCGACTACACAAGCTCGTTAGTTCTACACCACAACTCACGTCTATTATAATAATAAAACTCTAGTCTGTCAGGGTGATGACGACACATCGTCTGACTTGATCCAACGAATGAAGTTCAACAAGGCTAGGTTAGGGTGGGGTCGTTTAATCCTTACACCAAATATTATTTTAGGTTTGTCGAGAGGTGATATAAATCAGAGGTGACTTTATGTTTCATATATTTTGTTTCATTTTATAAAACTTAATTCCTTTAGATTTGTTAATAAAAAAGTGTATTATTCTCATTTTCATAAAAGTCGATGTTTTCAAAACTTAGAATCACCCCATAATAAGGCTCGATGATTGGTCAAAGTGAATGTGGGCGAGTAACACTTTATTCTATTGGCGTGTTAAAAATTCTCTGGTGCGTGGGGGTAGGTGAAATCAAAGCTTACGCGTGCCCAGATAGGGGCTTATGCATCAAAAATAAATAAAACCATAGTAGTAAAAAATATTTTATTTTTTTAAAAAGGTTCACAATCGATTACTATTCCTCAATATTGACTTCTTATTATGTACAAACGCATGGCATAGATTGCAGCTAATACATCATTTATTTTACAGATATCTAAACGAAAATCGCTATTGAATTAGACAAATATTACTAAACCAAAAAGACAAAATTAACAAAAAATTATTTTCCGCAACTTCATCTTGTTTATTGTTTTTCCAGTGATAAATAAGATATCTTTTCACAATGTCCATGTCACTTTTGTAGGAAGACATTGATTTCGTATTCGGAGGTTTGTCAAATAATAATGAAGTTTTTTTTTTGACATATTCATTAAAAAATTGCAACTCCGAGCACAAATTTGTTTTGAAGTAGGCCACTTTGATGGGATCCAGCACCCCTACGCTTATAAAAGTTTGTTGACCAATAAACGCCATCAGTACTTCTAATGTCTTCTGAACTGCTACAGCACTTAGATTTTCTGTCCAAGAATCAATCAACCCTGAATATTCATACATAGTGTGCCGCAGAAAAAAGCTAAGTTTCTGGTTGGGTCGATATTCACTGGAATCTTGATGTTCAACAACGCATATGTAATCTAAATACTTTTCATCAATATTTTGACCTTGGGAGATTCCTTTCTTTTGGTATACTTGGTTAAGCGTTTTGCAGAGAAAATGTGCCAAACAGAGTAATTTACCATAATTTAAGTCATTTGGGATAGGCATTTCAAACTGGGGAACGCTAAAGTCATTTTCAATTAGGATTATTTGAGGTTCTTTTGTTTGATACAAGTCGAACATGTCTACTAATGAGTGATTTAAATTGAAGAGGCATGTGAATGCTATACCAAGAACTCCTATTAGTCTAAAAGAAGTACATATTGAATATTAAACTTTTGTTTACTTTTATTACATACCTATTAAGGGAGACTATCATCAGATTATGGTTTGTTGTAGAATCTTGATTGACTGGTATAATCCTGTTATATTTGTCCATATAGTAAAATGCTATATGCTTTGGTTTTAAGCAAATGTATATACATGAATTAATCATTTTTCTCACTGACCCCTGAAAACAGTGCTTAAATTATTTTACTCTTAGCTTAAAACAAACAACTTACAATCATAAAATTAAATGTACAGCAATATTTTGTAGACCAGTCAGTTTTCCAATTAGTGATCATTGTGTCGTAAAATTTTAAAGTTTGAATTAGTAAGTCCAAAGCTTTTATATCGACGGTGGTTTCAGGCAGGGTCATTATGTGTTCAAGTATTTTTTCATTTAAAATTAAAAAGGAATAACAAGTCTCAAGCGCATCAATTTTAAATTTCTGTACATAAATTTGATGTAACTTTAATACCAATGTAAAAATTATCCATCCTTCTTTCAAACTTTTGGGATTAAGCTAAAATAAAGCATATCAAAGAAAATTTAATTAAGGGCAACTTTTTATTATACCTTTAGATTTGGGTTGTTAAGTAATTTGGTCATCACTGGGTGAATGCTATTGTAAAACGGATTCAAATTAACTTTCAGAAAATCCATATATAGGGGAGATTTTATGTAGGTCAATAGACCATGGAGGGCAAGTTTTCCAATAGCCAAAGTATAATTGCATCCAAGTAGATCACACGTGCAATTCAACAGTTTTGTTAGATATTTTCGACAAGTAAACCAAAGCTGACAGTCTTTCACAGATTCGTAAGACAAAATATAGTTGGATATCAGCATTATTAAAGCCCACACTCCAGATTCATCGTTTACAGAATTTGGGTCCTCTTTGTCATTGCTCCATACATCTTCTAACAAGGAATATTCATAGTCCATCATGAAACCAATCTCTTCCAATAAATATTGCAAGTCTGTTTTTGATGTTTCATAATATTCTTTAAAATCTTTAATTATTTTAAAGATAATTGTTAGAGCTGTTCTCCTCTCCTTTATTCCAGAGTTGATATATTTAGATCTTACAACTGAACATAATTGCTTTGATTTGGCTACCAATTCCATCTGCTTTTCACTAAATTCAAATCCAAACAAGTCTATAACAATCAAACAATATTCCAGCCAACTATTCCAGAGTTTCATGTTAATAGAGGCAGATTTGATCCCATCAAAAGCACCAGATACAAAAAGATACTTAATATCCTCGGTTGAAAATACTTTAATTTTTTTCTGTTTCCTTGCAGCGACCATAACTTCCGTCCACGATTTTATAAACACATCCTGCTCTTCTAGATTCTCATGTTCGATGTAATGACTTGGAAACATATCAAACATGTATTTTTGTAATTGTTCTAGTGTTTTTTTGTCTGTTAGAAATTTTTCCACAACCGCAAAGAATTTTTCGTGTCCTTCAGGGTTCTGCAAGGATGCACCTAATTCAATACTAAAAATTTTTAGAATATATGCATAAACGCCAGGTGTCTGATCTAATTTCCTGAACAGTGGGTCAGCGAGTAATAACCAAAAAGAATCCAGTGCTGTTACATCTTTAATCAAGTGTTGTTTACCAGTTAACCATAAATTTGCCATCACCTTAAGAACACCTAGTTGCAATGGGTTTTTCAAGTATTGAACAGACTGAAATGAAATAAGAATGTTGTCTGTTGAAAGCATATTTTGAAAAAAATACCTTCTTGATATTCTCAAGATAATCAATCATGAAGTCTCCTAATGTATCTCCATCTAGTTGCTTTGTTTTTGAATCAATGTACCACTTCTTGGAGCACTGGACGTTAAAAAGTGCAGCTGTCATACCATTTTGATAAAATATGCAGGTACTTAGGAGATTTAAAATATTTAGTTTGATTGCTTCATCTTGCATTGGGTCTCTTAGTTGGTCTAAGAATAAGATTTGAAGTTGGTCACCGTCTAATCCCAAGCATGCCATTAGGGGAACATTTTCATCCTTAAAAAAATAATTATGCAAATTTAAAAAACTAATTGAAGCATTTTTCTTACCCGTGCCAAAATTTCTAGAAACTTGCATGATAATAGTGCTATAGGGCAGCTATATGCATTAACGAAGTAAGCGCATGCTGCTTTAGATAGCATATGAGTTTTATGGTCAATGTAAAATTTGATGTTAGTTTGGGTGATTTTAAACTTATAAAGAAGTAACAAAATCACTAATTGGAGTCTAATATTTTCTATATACACTAGGGAAGGACCTTTGAACCAGTTGGACTCTTCATTCATAATGTTTTGGAGGTAGAACTTATCTTTAATAAAGTGTGAACAGAAGATTGATACTATGCAGTCGTTGTTCAATAAATTTTTTAATGTAAACTCATATATTTCTTCAGCATCCTCTCTCTTGCCTTCAAGGGAGACAACTCTCAGGGCTCTAATAAATATAGATAGACAACCTGAAAATGTCTTTTGTAAAACAGTAACTTAATGATGACAAGAAGTACCTTTAAGAACTTTGGCTTGTTGGTGAGAGTCAGAGTATTTCCACTGTTGGTGAAGTGGATAAACAACATTTACTACAAACCATATTCCTGGATATATAACTTCCTTGTGTAGAATATTTTTCTGCAAAAAATTAAGTGGTATAATTTTTTTTAATGAAATCGTAACAATTTAAATCATTGTGTCTTGAGGTGCTGGTTATACTAGAGTTGAGTGAGACGAACTTACTATGGTACTTACTTCTAAAATATTTGCAACCAGGTCCAAATAGAGCAAGAGCAACTTATGGTCGTTTGTGTTTTCCTCATCTTTCAAATAAATATATAAAATGCAGTCTGTATTTATGTGAATGAGGGTCATCTCTCTGTTGCCATTTTGGTAGTCGCTTATAGTAGGAAAAATAATTTTTTTTACCGTTTGCGGAAATGCGACTGCAAACTCAACATTTTGCTTCATCACCAGAGCACATTTTGCTTCAAAATATGCATAAAATAACTCTAAATTTCTCATACTTCCATTAGAGTGATTAGTAAGAATGCCATCCAATCTATGCAGTATTGGTTTGATAATAGTTTCTTTATTAAAGTCTCCTTGATAGAATTTTATTAGATGAGTGAGGAATGTAGTTCCCTGAATTACATAACTTAAAAGTAATTTGTTATAACATGCTTTGCCCAGTACCCAATTGCTTAATGATATTATATATTGATCAATCATGTCAAACAAATCATACTTATAATTAAATTTTATTACATCTTTTCCATAACAACTGCTTCTCTCAGCTGTGGTATGAGGTGGCATTACAAATCTATCAGTTTCATTAAAAAGATTTGTTGCTTGCACTGTAACAATCATATCAGATGTATAGACCCACATAAATTCACTGCAATAGCTGGGCATGGTGTGCAACAACTTCAATATCTAAAATAATTTTTAGATAAATAGGTATTTATCAAAAAATTTTATTAAATTACCATATCATAACACTTCTCATTTTCAATTAGGGCAGAGCAAATATTCAAAAAGTGATTCATAATGTATGGAAAGATATTTAAACTGGCTTCAAAATATTGGCTAAAATTACTTAAAGCATGCAAATTAGGTTTCTTCATTAATTCACATAGTATGTCAACTACTCCATCTTGTTCATAAATCAGTCTAACATTTCCACATACTTTAACAAATTCAGTCATCAGTTTGTTTGTTGCTTCAAGAATTATTTCAGCACATTTACAATCCTAAATTAAAAAAATATATTTTATTTTGAAAATATTGTGAATTATGCAAACCTCAAATATTTCGCTTTTCAGCACATCACTCAACGTTTTAAAGACTTTTTTCTCAACAAGAACATCAATAGCGTTATTGCAAGAGTTAAAAAAGTCTTTGGACAATGTGGATTTGAAAGTAAGCCAAATAAATAGAACAGCTACATTGTCACCATGAGTTTGTTGTATCTCTAAATCTGTTTCCAGTTGTTTGGGAATTATTTTACACAAATCTGATTGCTGCCTGTAAAATATAGTTGTATTTTTTTTCTATGGGAATGATATACATACCAGTAACGATGTATAATGGCTAAGATCACTCCTATTTCAGCAGCTTTTATGTCAGCCATATCTTTAGCTCGCAACATGTATGATGCTCCATAAAACAAAGGATGTCTTCCAAATCCATGCCTCATAAATAATTTAAGCAAATGAATAATTTCTTTGCCATCCAATTTAATTATATCGATAACTTGGATCATTAGCAATAGAATTTCCACTTGTTCACGATTATTTCTACGAATCCAGTGAGATAGAGTGTCTTTGGAAACCCTGGTAGCTTTATCCTTACTTATTTCTGTGGTCAGCATTTCAAAACTTTCACACAAATTTTTCCAAAGATGTTCAATGTTTATACTATTTATAAAATGGTTAAATTGATTGTAAAGCATATGGTCCTTTTCCGAGAGGTTCTCCAATATATACCTAAGTGTTTTTAACATAAACATTCGGTCTGATGAATAAAAATACCATATGTGGTCTATTAAGGATTTTACATTTGTTTCATATTTTATAATTGATTTTAATTCATCCACTTTACCATAATAGTCAAATATTAAGAAATTGCAGATTATATACCATGCAATATTAGAATGGAGGTCTAATTCTTTACTGAGACGATGGATAAAGCTACACATTTCATCATCTTGAGAAATAGACATTTTTTTGTATAGCTCTTTCCATTCTGTAAATCCCTCCTTTGTATATTGTTTATATTCTAACAGGCCGGAAACTAGTTTCTTTTTACACAGGTCCAAAACATCTTCTACCAAGTCTGAAGTCACATTTTGATGACTTACAGATAGTATTTGATAAAATTTTTTCCAGACCCTGCAAATTTTTGAAAATTACACAAAAAAAAATTAAAACTTAATTCAAAAAAGGCCTTACGGTTGCGTATCATTTTCTGTCATCGTATACTGAACCCCAGCCAAACAGTTTGTAGTCTGTAGTTTCGAATTTTTTAGGTTTATGTTTTTGTCTTCTTCTTTTTACGTTGTAAAAGCACAAGCACCCAGAGCCACCCTCTCCACGCACAAAACATCTGTGGGGGTATTTTGCATCTTTCCGTTTCTGGCCATTAGATCATACCGATTTCGACCGCAGATGGATCGTATTATCAATTTTCTTATTTTTTTAAATACGCATTGCGTTATGTTCTTAGCAGTGCTCTCGAGTACTCAGCAAAAGTAGCCAAAGATCTTGTGTTTTGATGGGTGGAACAGTTTGAAAAAATAATTGAGAAAATAAAATCATCGAAATAAATTTAAAAACTGTTCAGGGAGTAATTTTGTTTTTTTTTGGGTGATAATGAAACGAAAACGAATGTTATATTCAATTACAACCTTTATTTTTCAGGTACATTGAACATGAATTTTTTTAAACAGTAATTTCGTCTGTAAATCGGCTCTTATCATCTAAGTTAATAACAATAGAATGTGTTCTGGCATGTCCAGAAACTAAATGTCGCCCATTGCTTTCGGTTTTGGCTTTTATCGCTACATCACTAGTTTGATATGTGGACGTGGTGCTTTCCTCAGCAACTCTAGCTTCGATTTTAAGTTCGTCAGTTTTGTCGCCTTTATTTTCGTTATTTATTACGCTAGGTTCTACCGTTGATCTGTCTGCTACGATACTAATGTTACTGTTGCTTTTTAAAATGACAAAAGATCGTTCTTTTTGATTTTGATCGTTGTCGCACATTCGAGCTGCATCTTGCATCGCATTGATTTTCGAAGCTAAATGACGATTTCCCACGCGCATGTTGCGCTCCTTCAATACTTCGAGCTGCGTGTAAAGACGCAAAAACTCCTCTTGAATATCTTGCTCTCTGTATTTCGTGCACATCACTTCTTGGCATACTAGGGATGAATTGGCGCTTACAAATTGCGAAGTCTCTGTTCTCCCCTTGGAGACGAATTTTGATGGGGTTTTATACACCATACTTGAGCTTTCGTCTTCTTTTCCTTTATTTTTCAATACCACGAACACCTACAAATAAATAGTATCAAATCAAAATTTTTAAATTATTAAAAAAAAATACGACTTTTAGAAAATATGGCTTTTTATTGTCCGTCGAATTGAAACTATTAATACTTATATTAATATTTCATTGCGGAATAAATCGCTTTCCAAAACAATGTATTTTTATCAATTTTTGAGGAAAACTGTAATTAATGCGTTTAATTTAATTAAAATTTCTACTCGTTAGATGGTATTAGTCAGTAGGCATTCTTAACTAAAGAGCCGTATTATTATTTCATGTTATTTCCTGAAATTTCTATAAAGTCTATGAATTGATTGGTATGTTGAGGTTTTCTTACTTTACTGCCGAAGATTAGACAAAGTAGCAGAGTGACGGTCAATTGGGTGTGACAGAAGAAGATTATATACATTAAATCCGGATTGGCGGGCTTTTGCAGAAACAACCTTGAAACAAAAATACGAATTTATAACCTTCGTTATCGTTAGTTCACTTATACGTACATAGAAATATTTAAAAATACGGACAAAAGAAATTCATTATAAATCGCCATAGATATGAATCGACTTTCGTTGAATTCAGACGGGGCTTTTCTAACTACGATGCAAAGTCTGATTCCCCACGCCAAAAACAAGACTTCCACTAGAACAAAGCAAATTAAGTGAACTTAATAAATTTTTCGGTGTAGTCTATACTCACGTATGCTAAATAAATGGTCCCACCAGTCCGTGCGACATAAAAAAGCCTTCAAGTCATCGCTCGTTCTGCCGACTATGACTATCGGGGGAGCTACAATGGTCCGAATAGTCAAAAACGCCGCAAAAACGGCCAATATCACACCCAGCCTCTTCAAGAGGTTCACATCCGTTATTTTTATTACTTTGGCCGACCTGACGCGGAAAATAACCGAGATCCTGAAAAATCCTGCCGTTACGTTTTCCCTTTTACTCCGCTGTGTACGAATTAATTCTGCGTGAAAAGATCTAATCGTACCTCCAGGTTTTTAACATCAACGCTCCATACGTTAAAGAAAATCCAATCTCTCTAAGCCAGATTCTAGCAGTGCATGTGTATACCGAGGGTTTGGGGTACATGACGATCATCTGGAAATAAGACAAATGCGGTATTAATTTTGTTTTGTCTAAATAGTTTTTCCACATCGTCATTTTAAAATTTATTAATTATATATTTATAAATATAATATTTTATAATTTAAATTTAAAAGATAATATTAAATTAGTGCTAAATTGATTAATAATTTCAAAAAATGACTCTTGGCATTTTAAACAGCTGGAAATAATCAAAATTTACATATTTTTATCAATTCACTCTTCCTAAAAGTTTTGTATTCTTATATTTGTCATTGCTTAAATGAGAGGCGAACACTGATAGAAAATTTATATTAGCACACACGAACAATCATGTCTTGTCATTTTTAAAGTTGATTATATGATCCACGATGGGCAGTTCTTGTGGTGTGACCCAATTATGCAAGCAAATAAATACATATAACACACAAAATAACCTCAACTGGAATTAATAAAATAAAAACAAATTAAAGAAAACAAATCAATGTTATCAAGTATCTAACCAATATCAGTTAATTTAATTTAATTAATTTTCATTCGTTTTATCGAATACGTACCGTACTGTAAATAAAAAACGCCCCTAAGGCGATAATTCTTAATAGAACTGGACTGGCCGCTCTTACAACCTGCAATACGAATTCTCGAACATGTTTCTGGCTATCCAAAAAAAAGTAAAAATAAATACCTTAACATTTCCATATTGCCACGTAAAAAACGCTACAATTGGCAAGCAGCAAATGGTAATGCATGAAAGGATCAAAATTACGCTTCTCAGTACCCAGTTCAGTGATACGACGCAAGGTCTATCATCCACACAAGATTCGCAACCCTCGGGGCAAGCTAGACATTCGAATATTCCCTCTTTGTCGTATTGAGTTAATTCACCCTAAAAAAAATAATCCCGTTCTAGTTGCTAACCAACCTGGTAGGCACTCGTGTTAGTATACAACACAGTACACTTATGAGAATTGCATTTATTCTGATTATTTGTCTAAAAACAAACCTAGATGAATTCAAATATCTTTTTTATATAAAGCTTCTAAATTGCAACAGTAATTTCTCAAAGTGGAATAGTAAAGAAAAGAAACAACCTTGTCTTCGTCCCCACCAGTTTGTTTCCATTGCCCTGGTACCACGTCACACTCTAGTTATTGCTGATTAAGTGGGAACTCGGTTTTCCTTATTTTCAAATTACTCTTAACTTAATATATTAAAAAATAACAAAATCTCCCTCAAATATTTAACATTTATAGCGTCAACCCAACTAGTTTACACTCCGCTATCCTATTATTTGCTTCCAACCACTAGTTTCTAGCTCAAGATCGTGTAAACCTCTTATGCGTTTTCACTCCCTCCATATTAGTTTACGGTTTCCGCTCTGGGTGGTATTCTGTTTTTATATTACAAGTAAGTTTAACCTTTTGGAGTTTGGTTTTACGCTTGCTTAGTTACTCCCTTGACACTTCAAATATGTTATTTTATTCGTTAACTGAAGAGGAGAAGTGCTCGGAACATGTACTGAGGTCTTGACGCCTTTTTTACAAAAACCAACAGGATTTTGCATTGGTTGTTTCTTTTCTCTTAAAGCTCCTAAATTGGTTTGAACTTATTTTTATTTAATTATAAAAATTGTTATGACAATGAAGACGATTTTTTATTTTAATAATATGAATTTGCGAACTTTTCATGATTCTTTGTTCATTTTATTTTGTCTATCGATATTTTTATTTTTAATTAGTATGCTTGCTTGAAATATATATATATATATATATATATATATATATATATATATATATATATATATATTTTATATAAAAAACGTTAAGTTTAAAACCGTCTTTTAGATTAAATTTCAATATTTCTTGCTAAAGAAACGATATTGAGAATTTATTTCCAATTTTTCACCCACCTACACTATATAATAATATTTCAAATAAGGTTTAAGAAGCTTTATTTATGACAATGAGGACGACTTCTATTATAATGATATACGAGGTTAGCTCCAACATTTCCCAGCCGGACATAGATGCAGCTCCAGTATCACGATAAAACTGTCTTCTTTTAAATGTATATCTTAGTAGGCTGCGAAAAAAATTGAGGTCTTGCGTCAAATAGTTTTTTGTTGACAGCATTTTAAACAAGACGTGTCCGAAAAAATGTCGCAAATAACGCAAATTGAGTATAGAGCAGACATAAATGTTTTGACAAAAGAAGGGTTAGCAAGTAAAATTATTAAAGAAAGGCTGGATGGTGTGTACGGCCAAAGTTCTTCTTCGTATTCTGTAGTGAAAGATTGGGCAAAACGTTTTCGAATGGGGCAGGGGTCCCTTGAAGATGATTCAAGAACTGGTCTACCAGTGGAGATCATAACGGAAGATATTGTTTAGATTGTGGAAGAGGTGGTATTGAGTGATCGACGTTTAAAGGTCAAGGAAATCTCAGAAATTACTAAGCTTTCTGATACAAGTGTTCGTCGAATCCTGCATGATCATTTAGGTATGCATAAAGTTAGTGCAAGATGGGCTCCTAAAAACCTTTCGGCTATTCAAAAACAACGCCGTGTCGAGTGTGCGCGGTCTTTTTTGGAACTCTGTGGGTCGGAACCGAAGCCTGTGATTGAAGTTATTGTTATAATAAAAAAATGTTACTCTGTTTCTTTCATATTCAGGCTGGGAAATTTTGGCGCGGCCCTCGTATATATAGCCTGCCGATTTTTCATTTTTATTTTTGGGGTTTGTTTATTTTAAAAGCGCCCTTTGGGTGATACTTGGCCGATGATCCTATTTTTTGAATATTTCGTCATTAAATTGCATTTTGGGTAAAAAAGACACAATGATAAGAATTTGTTTACAAATTATCATGTTCTTAAAAAAGGACTAAAGCGTAATTTTACCAATTTTTTTAAAAATTTGGACACTTTTGGATACAAAATTTGCATGCGGCGATTTTAACACTTTTTGAATATGGACGACTGTTTTCAATTAGCTTGCTCCAGTGTCCATCAGCGACATGGATTTGAAGCGTTAATACCAATAAAAAAATTCCTTACTAATATTCGTTTTTCGTATTCCTCTTCGATTTGTATTCCGTTGTAAAAGCGGCGTTCTGCGTTTGTGTCGGGGAAATAAAAGCCTTGTTTGCAGACGCATTTGTAGCTTCCTCTACGAAACCCCAATCCGGGTATCGGAACACACTACAATTATAAAATTTTAACGAATTCTCTCATTTATTTAGGACGTAAAATCGCGTTCACATTAGCGCCGCAATGACCAGCGAATTTTTAAAAGAGGGAAATACGCTCAAAAACTCAGGAGGCACAGCAAAATTCACAAATTAATCTGCGTAAATTTTCGCCCTTTTTATACTAGAAGCAAAATTACCAATCCCATTTCCCTGTCAGTTATATGTGTTTGACGCTACTAGAAAAAAACCCAATCAAAGTGAGTATATGAAGTGTAGTTAAAACAGTTTCCATATGTAATCATGTAAAAAAATATATATTTTAATAAATTTCACTTTAATAAATGGTGGACATGAGAGGAACGAGAATTTGCTGTATTTGTCGGTGTAAATTTCCGTGAACATGATTTTATTGCTCCCAAAGTGGCACTTTGAGCGATTTCTCAGACAACAATAGCACCTCCTTTATTCCCAAGACCCTCGCGAATAAAATAAGTCCGTTCATTCGCGGAAAAAAAGTCCGGAAAAATGAAATTTTCCGCCGTTAATTGATTCTAGCCTTCTATTTTTTTTTCTTTTTTTAAATTGTTTCACATATTCTTATTGCACTCTGATTATATATATTTTTTTTATGTTATTTTTTTTTTGAAAAACGTTTTAGTTAGGTGTCGTAAAACTCAGAGGAAGGAGTTAATTGTATATAATCTCGTGGAATGTCACTAAACTTCTTTGTTTTTTTCATATTAAAGTTTGCGTATTCAAATTCAAATTCCCATGGAATTTTGGGAAATTATTAGTTGAAATTCCTAGAATTCCTCATAATTCTTTTGAATTTCTTTTTCTGGGAATTACTTCGTACTCTACTTCATAACTGCTCTGCGATTTTATTAATTAATATTAAGATGGTCCTATCCTTACCACGTCTCCTTCGTTTTGCTATTCATCAATATCGGAAAAATTATTGCGTTACCTGCGTTGTAGCTTTCTTGCATTTGTCAGAGGCGGCGAAAATATTTATTTGCGTTTCTTCTGGAGGTGTCGGGCACTGATCTATATCGACGTGACGTAGGTCGATATCGATTCCACTCGTTCCTCTACAACGCAGAAAACCATATAAAACAAACCTTATCAAAATAGTCTAAGTCTACGTCTGGCTAATAGCAATTTGCGTTTAACTTTGCGTTAAGACATCGTCCTATTAATCAAGGGTGGCGGGTTGCGTTTAGATCCACCCTAGAAACTTATTCGTCCTTAATGGAAGAGAATAAGGGACGGGATCTTGTCTGGGCGTTGTTTTCCCACTAGTTTTGGTTAAAGATTTTATTCATTAAATCCATTCACATGGAATGTTGTCCGTAATCTTGTTTGGACAATCGATCGATTTAGTTAGGGATATGACAATAGCGTTAACTTGGCTAATCACAGATTATTTTTTAATTACACAAGAACCTCTGAAAATTGTCTGCCAACTCGCGTAACTTCTATCTCTTCAAATATACCCCAGAAACGTTCAAATACCGGGTGGCTGTAAAAAATATAAAAAAAAAACAAGGTGTCTTTTTTTTGAACACCTAACAACTTTACTGTTTTGATTAGAGCATCCCGTAAAGGCAGTTTTTAATTCCTCAGGACTTTCTAGACCATATTTCACATATATTATATATATATAAAAGCCTTTGTTATATAGTTTTTACAAAACTTCTGGATTCCTCCTGCGTCGGTTTTTGCTTAGTCGAAATTGCTGACGTTTCGCCAATCATCCTGTTGGCTTTTTCAGAGCTTGAATGAAACTGGCTAGCATTTTACTCTGTACCTGCTTATATATTGTGTGGGGGGCGCGAATGAGGGGTATGAACACCGTCTCGGATGACTGATTCCCAAATTGGTGCCAGGTAGAGACCAGAGTCTCGGTTAAGATTTAATTTAATTTTGGTTATATCGAATAAAATTTTATGCCCGGTTTCATGAGTGTGTTCGGCAACAACTGATGAGTTTATTTGTCTTAGTCGTAAGGCTCTTTCGTGTTCTTTGAACCTAGTTAATATCTTTCGTCCAGTTTTTCCAATGTATTCTTTGCCGCAGATGCATGAAATGCTGTCAACTCCTGGCATCTCAAATGGAATTTTATCTTTGACGGACCGAAGATGTTGAGAGATTTTTGGACAAGTGGTAAATCTGATTTTGACATTATACTTCTTTAGAACTTGTGGTCAGTGATGTTTTGAATGTAAGGAAAGACCACAGTTGCAAGTGTAGGATTGCTTTCGGCCTCATTGCTATTGGAAGGTTGTGGTGAAGTGTATTTTTTGATGGAACGCTTAATATCTTTAATGTGGAAATTATTAGAGAGAAGAGCAGAAGTAAATTGTTTTAATTCTGGGTTCAGTGACTCGGGCTGTAAGCGAGAGCATTGATAACCGATGATTTTTTGCCGGATGATGATGTGACAATGCATTAAGGTATCGGTCTGTGTGGGTAGGTTTTCCGGAAACACAATGACCCAATGTTAGGTCTGATTTTCTATTGATAAGAATATCTAACAATGGAAGGTTATTCTTAGTTTCCAACTCAATTGTAAAACGTATGTTAGGATGTATAGAGTTTAAATGTTTAAGAAAATCTACTAGGGTTTCGTGACCATGAGGCCAAATAACAAAGATGTCGAGAGCTTTCTTCTCAAAGGCTTCCATAAATATGTTCGCTATGACTGGTGATAGTGAAGAACCCGTAGCTGTTCCCGACGCTTGTTCAAAAATTTGGCCATGATAAGAAACTAACTAACTAGAATATCTTGTGTATCTTATGTAATGCTTTTTAACTATTCAATGAAGTAAAAGGTATTAAGTACAAAACTATCAGTTTTCCCTGTAAGAAGGTTAGATATTTTGCTGGACAACCAATGGTGCGGACAATAGGTCGACGGGGTAATCCTGGTTTGTAGATCTTTGGGAGTCAATAGAGACGAGGAATTTTAGAGCCATGGGGGTGACAGATTTTTTCACGGTGTATGATAGAGAAGAAATCTTAATAACAGATTTAAAGTTGCGATCCATAGATGAAGTAGGATCTTTTTTAAGTTGACGATATGAATCTTGAATCTTTTCCTGATATTCATTTGTGTTCATTACAGTAGCTTGTGGAAGTTTCTTTGAAAAATCAGCCTTTGTTATATATTTAGAAATGATTTCCTCATAGAAGATCTACTTTAGTGGTCTGTGCGGATATTTTAAATATAAATAAATAGAGGGTGATTAAAAAGTCACATTAAATGAAAAATCGTTAAAAGTCATCATTTTATCCGATTTAGTATTAAAAGCAGATTACTTTGCATAAGGTTATCTATTTGAACAAATTGTAGATTTCAAAATATTAGTAATGAAATGTTTTTCCATTGTAAACGGGCCACCCTATAGTCCCAGAACGCTGATAAATGAAATTTTGCAATTTTCAAATATATTGGATAAATTTGTCTTTTTACAAATTATTTATTTTTTCTACTCCTGTGTGCAAAATACTTAATTACCCACCGATTTAGCGTGAGGCGAACCACATCAGTTTCGGTTCCCATGAATCCGAGCCACTTCGGACATTTCCGGGATTTTACCGCACGGGTTTGGGAGCAATCGGATGTTTTCGGAGATATTTCCCACGCTTTGAATCTTGACGTTTGTCAATTCTGACAGTCATTGAATGTATTCGTGTTTTGCGAAAATGTACGCAAAAACTAACGGTCGTAGAAAAATTATAGTATGCAACACGTTCGGTAAACTTTTTAACTCAGTCGTTTATTATACACTCGCTCCGCTAGTGTCAAATAAACTCGTGAGTCAAATGCCGTTTACCGCATTTGTTGCAGAATATACTATTACTATTTGATATTCAGTGTGCTCAGGTTAAGGACTTACAAACTAGTAAAATCTTTATTTTCTGATTGATTTTTTCTCGGTTATTTCTGGCTGCAATCATGGCCAACTGCCACCACTTCTATTTCAACAAAATTTGCAAAAAATATTTGTCAAACTGTAAAAAAAAAATATTTAACACCTTTTGTGCATGGCTAATCTCCAACCAAGCTTTTGCGTATATATTATTTACTGTTTTATAGGCCATATAACTTTATAATATTAAAAACATATTTATAAAATTATTATTACCATAAAAATGTACAACATTAAAATATTTCAATTAATCTTTTTTGGTTAAAAATTTAATTCTTTTTTTTTAATTTTCTGCTTAAAATTATATTTTTTTAAATTAATTCAAAATTGCAACGATAACAATCGAGAATAATTTACTTATCAATAAGATACTTCCACATAAGCGTTAATATAACAACGGTCAATAATTGTAAGGAAAGGTAGTTGAAACGAAAACGTTTCTCGAGACAAACGAAGATGGTTTTCCGACAACGGAAATTGGTCTGTGATAAATGAAATTTTATCCGAGTGCTTTGTTCCATTCACAAAAGTTCCTTCTCGAACTATGCAAAAATTAATTGCATAAAATGCGTTTGAATGTTTGCATCCGGTTATTTACTTTATTTTTTATTATTTTATGGCAACACCGTGACTGGCTCAACATTCTTTGAATTCTCCGTTTAGAATTTAATAATAATAAGATAACTAACAAGTCATTTTAATTTTTGTATTTTTTACGTCTTCACTTCATTTTCGGTTGCGCTTCATTTTTAATTGTGGCTTTTTAATTATAAAACCTTTTCGGAACCTCCGCTGCCCTGTGAAAATAATGAAGGTGTCTAACATTAATTAGGATAGGAGATCAGATGTGTGTCAAATAATTGTAATTACGAATTGTTTCATAGTTTTTCTCAATGGTTCTACCTGTGATTTTTGAGGGAAACTTGTTTGTGAAATCATTTTAATCATTTATCCTTCTTTGAGTTAGTGGTTGTGTGGTGTGATAAAGAATAAATAAACCAGTATTTTGGTATTCTCTCCCTACTGATTTAGGTAGTCACAAAAATTGGAAAAAGAAAATCTTAAATTTTCCCGTTTTGGAGAAATGAAAAATATTTGCGAAATGTAAATATAAGTCTTTTTGGACAACGCACTCCTGAAAAAACACATACGGCTATTTTCTGACCAACATATTTTCTTAAAGGTTAGACAATATTTGGAATTTCTAAGTATATCAATGTGTACGCATTTTTTCGAAGGTTTATTAAGAAGTTACGTTATTATAAATTTTATTTTTTACATATACTTAAAGAAAATATTGTTTGAGCGTCAAATAATACTAGGCAAATGATTTGAGAAATTAAACGACGAGAAGACTAAAAAAAAAGACGGCAAAGTACATTCAAGTTCAGATCGAGTTCGCAGTTACTCATACTTACTTAAAGTAGTAGGTATTATTCCTGTAGCCGAAGAAAGGCACAGTGTAAGTCAACATCCAAATATTTCCACCCCCGCAGTCGTAATAGGGTTTAGACCATTTCCCATCTTCGTAACGTACAGACAATATTTCTTCCGAAACCCTAACGTCATGGGCTGTACTATTGAATCTGTACGTCATGTAACCTGAAAAAAAGCGAATAATAGTTTCTCTAGGAAGGACGGAAACACTGTGCGACTTTTGTACAAAAGTTTTTAAAGTTTTCCGCGATGGTCGATGACGTTTCGGTGTTTCTTTTTTTCGACCCCCCACAACGGGGTAATTAAATTTCGGGCAGACACATTTTTATGAGGGTTGCCAGAAACATAAATGTAATTAGTGTTTTTTCCCGGGCAAAGAATGATACGACATTGTTTTTTTTTGTTCCGGTTAAAAGGGACATTACGTAACTTCTAAAGCCATTTAGGGGTCGCATCTCGTGCGTCCGGGATGTAAATTAACGATGTGGAAATTATATTAGAATGACCATTTCGGGTCAATCAATTTAGTCTCGGGCCAAGGAATAATTTATTATTGGTCGTCGTTGGTAATATTGTCCGTCATTTAAGAAACTGCAAAGGAATATCAAATTTCACGCGAAATAAGATAAAAGCTATAAATCGCCCGGTATTATTTTAATATTTCATTTTAATTTATGCCATTCTAATTTATATTCTCGATTTTCATCAGTTACTCCGAAGGGTTTACATTTATCATGGACACAATTAATATTGGAGTTACTCGCGGGTGTTTTTATAGTCCATACAAACGTTTCTCTTAAATTGTTTCGTTACCGCGATATAGCGTGGCGAAGTTCTAAAAAAGATACTTGAGTAAATTATTTTAAAAACTGGTGCCTCACTGGTGTTTCTAAATATTATAACAATTTCCCGATATTATTTAAAACTAAACTCGTAGGAACAGAGTGGTTATTATCAATTTGCTGATGACGTTCAGTCGTCGTATTCTTTTCTCAGAAGGACGTAGTTATTTACTTAAAATTGATGGAACCTCCACTGGTCATACTTATAACCCAAATCTCTCAAAATTTGTGTCCATTCTATTGACTGGTCAGTGAAATTAATATTTATTTATTTATATCGCACGTTACGTGGCCGTCGCGTCGTTTTGGGAACCAAATGGAACCCATATTATTATTGGGATCGCTATGTATCGTATTCGGATATTAATTGAAGAGGGTATATATACAAACCCATAATAATTTATTTTAAAATACATATTATTGTTAAATAATCATAGATAACACTCCACAATTGCAAGATGTTATTTTTTGACTAGTCAACTAGAAAGTGGTCAATTGACCAGTTCCAACACCGCTGTGGCATTCATCCGGAAATTTACTAATCATGTGAGATTTACTTAAGAATAGGATATTCAGTATTTAAGTCACTTTTTTTTTGTATTTATTGTATTGGATTGTATTCTTTTGCAGTAATAAAATTTAAAGTCCTCCAAATTTCCATATGAAACTTAAGTTCCGAGTTCAGGTTCGTAGTCATAAGTCATGTACGTAAACAAAAAGAACCGCAATTTAAGAAAAGTTATTCTTCCTATACTAAATAAATACAACATTTTTAATTTGGACATTTCACTTCCAGCCTTTATAAAGTCTCTTTATTCAAAGATTTGTTCCGTTTGCGGGAAGAACTCTGTATCTCTTTATCTATACTTCTTTTCCATCGTCTGTGTATTTTTTATTTTAAATGGGCTTTAGTTTTTGGTATCGGTTACATTTTTTATATTATATTTTATAGGTTTGGCCGCTGCATTGATCGGCATTGTTTAGTCCTCTCTTCATATGTATTTTTATTTGGAACTTTATTTTATTATTATAATTATTATTAATATAAATGCTTTTTTAATGAAAAAAAATGTTAAATTTGTTTTCGACTATTCTTATGTGAAGTTAGTTACTGAAATTTTCTACAGTTACTAAAATCTGTACCAAATTTGATTTAAAAAAATATCTGTCGAAATATGAAAACAAACCATGGCAAACAAATAGGTTTGTGGGATGTGTTCGAAATACACGAGTACACGTTTGTTGATTTTCTTAAACAGTTTAAATCGTTTTGTCGTATAGTAAACGTTGAAATCGGGGAGATACTTATTTGCCAAAATCGCGTAGCAGTGCATAATAAATCTTATATTACGTATTCCATCCGATTTCCGGCTCAGACTAATACTAGCAACTAAGTTCGTTAGTTGAGAATCGTAGTAAATGCACCAAAGAAGTGAAACATTAATTAAGGCACACAGATGTGAAGTTTCCAAAACAAAGAGGCCCAGGACGTGTTGGGGTAAATAAAAACGCAATATCGAGCGACAGATATAAAAAAAAATTCGAAATAAGCTGCGACACAAGTGGTGGAACATGTTACGTCTGCCGTATTGCCAGAAACTGGCTATTTATAACTCCCAAATAAAGGCACTCAAAAGTGTATTGTTCGTGACGAAAAACGAGAGGAGAATTCCATTATCCAAGCGGCAATTAATAAATTATGAGGCCGCAATTTGGACTGGATCGTATGTGCCACGCCATAAGCTCGCCATCAGTTCGCATTGTGATGCCGGATGCAAGATCCAATTTCTATGCATGATTAAACAAACAAAAACTTCAATTTTATCATGCCCGATGGTGTTTTATTCGTCTAAGCACTTTATTAGCTTCTAGAATATGGGACATGTTCAATAATCTACAGCGGTTCAATTATTCACGATGTGCGTGTGTTTTTTTTTCAAATGGGCAAAAAGCTTTGACCGCCGCCGGAACGGAGAACGAGTTGTGAAAAATATTAATTGGTTTGGTCCAGGCTTAAATAAAAATGGCAACGAATTCCAAAATAAAACCCAAACGGGGACTAACAAGACTGTCACTAACAGTCCGCTAATTTGGAACGAGGACGCGATAGGGCAAGAATCCGAATCCGATTTTATTCAGCCTCATTGCATTGGACTTTTTCTTTAGATTACTTTCCTTAATGGTTCGGATTTTTCGATTCCGAATCAAAATTCCGCTGTGAAGTTGACAGATAAAATTATTCTGTTTCGTCACCGAAGCACACGTCGCAAACATCAGATCTGTAAATTACATTTGCATATATATGGAGCAAGTTGAAAAAAGGAAAATCCTATTTAAAAAAAAGACTTTTGTTTGGTGTCGATACGTACACAAAATCTATATGTACTGCAGTGACTGCATACGGTATACAAAATATATATTCAAAATCTATAATCATAAATTCTGGATAATTGATGGTGTGTTGCAGCTTATTCCGCAGGGTAAGCTCCTTGGAAAAAGAGGCCCAGGACGGAGGAGAATTTCGTGGCTCCACAATCCGAGAAAATGGTTCTCTCTTACCACGGGACTTTTCAAAGCAGCAGCCCACAAGATTAGAATAGCCATGTGAAACGAATAGACACCTTAAGAAAAAGAAGTCGAATTAATGAACTGTCGGCCGCCATGTTGGTTGTTGAACGCTGCAAGATCAAAAAATCAAAACACTTTGTATTAGTTAAGCTCAATTTGAGCATAAATAAGTTTTCCATATATTCAATACTATGTTGGCTTAAAATTAAAATTCTAAATATTTTAAGTTTTTTTTTAACAAAATCAAATGCTTCTTATTCATATAGTTGCTTTAAATCTAGCATTATGTCAATTTCATTTATTCATTCATTCATTTATCCATATTGAAAGGGTATTTTTATTTTTTTATTAAAACATGTTATATATTGACCACTGATTTTTGATAAAGGTAGTTAAGTTAAGTGCCACTAAAAATACCTTAATAAATATGACAAAAATAAATTTCTAACATTGTTAAACACATTTTATTAAGATGGTATGCCGAAGCAGATATTTACATTATTTGCATTAATTTTATCTATCCAAACTAGTATTTCTATTATTTTATACAGATAAGTTTTGTGATCCAGAATGCAGATTTGGTTTAGCATGCAAATAGAAACTTCAAAACTACTTCTGGGCTAAGAAAAAAATTCATTACCAATTTTTTTTCTTTTAAATCGAAAATTTTTACCATCGTGTAATTTGTATAGGCAATTTTTCGTATTGTAGATTTTCTGTTACTGTCTGTTTTTCTGCTTCTTCTTAGAGTAAATCATAGAAAAAAAGAGAATGAAGTTTAATCCTTTTTTGTTAACAAATAATGCAAAATTCTTAAAAATATTTGTTCAGTTCAAGAAGAGCATGAACATGTTAATTGCTGTTACCTAAAATAAAGAACTACACTAAACAAAATTATGGCGCATATTCTTTCCTAACCTTAAATACATTAAAAGTATAAACAAAAGCAATTACTTCAACGCTGTGTCACGACATTTTTTGGTCTGTAGGTATCATTTTGATAACACTAGGTTAAACTTACACTTCAACATTCACAAAGTATAATCTCTCTCAAAGGAATTCACTATCTTACATCACTGAAAGCACCCATTTCACAGCTAAATTCTATATAAAAATTTCACAGAATTAGCAAATATATATATATATATATATATATATATATATATATATATATATATATATATATATATATATATATATATATATATATATATATATATATATATATATATATATATATATATATATATATATATATATATATATATATATATATATATATATATATATATATATATATATATATATATATATATATATATATATATATATATATATATATATATATATATATATATATATATATATATATATATATATATATATATATATATATATATATATATATATATATATATATATATATATATATATATTCTCACGTATTGATTCACGGATGGAAAAATGTGATGACACTATATTCCGGGATATCATCCGTTCGCTCGTTGAACTCCGACTGGAATCCTGCAAATCTTGCATCCGACTGGAATCCTGCAGACGTTTCGCCAAAATCTCACTTGGCATCTTCAATGCTCGCGCTCCGTTCGAAGTGTTTTCGGATGCAGGATTCCAGTCGGATGCAGGATTTGCAGGATTCCAGTCGGATGCAGGATTCCAGTCGGAGTTCAACGAGCGAACGGATGATATCCCGGAATATAGTGTCATCATATATATATATATATATATATATATATA